TTCTTCTTTTCTTACAGTTCTTTCTACCTTTACCTACATTGAATTTCTTCTGATGTTTTAATCATTGGTAAAGTTGTGAAAGGTATTTCTGGAAATCCTTGGCTTTTAGTGTTACTAGCCTGAAAAAATTAGTAACAGCAAATTTTTCATCTCCCCCCCCCCAATTATTTCAGTTACTCTGATATGCACAAGGCTCTGACCCAGCCTTGTGGGATCCCAAGACTGAATGGAAAGGCCCAAGCAAGACACTGGAAATAGAGATTTTATGCCCCATTTTTTTGTTTGTTTACCAACCAGTTATTTATCCTATTGGGATATTTTTTTTCCTTTTCTCCAGTAGCTACTTAAACCTCTTTAGTGACAGACGTTGTCAAAAGTGTGTTGAAGAAATCCAAGTAGAATATGTTCTTTTCCTGGATGCTCATTAACAGCCTCACAGACCTCTTAGCACTTCATGAGCAATGACACTCCAGTATAAAACTTGTGTTGACACTACCCCAGTACAGTGATTTCTCAGTCTGTTCACTAATTCTTCACTTTATTATGCTGTCAATTTGCTCAGTACAGCTGTAAAATTTGTGTTTCCTGACTTTTTCCCTCTCCATTCAAAAAATGGTGTCACGTTTGGCATCATTCATTCTCTAGCAAGAAGCCCTTCCTTAAGCCCTGTGCTTAAGTACAGTAATGAGGGGTCTAATGGTGCTCAACTTAGGCACAAATTAAAAAAAAATACACAAAAAACCCCCCCTTAACATTAAAGCACTGCAATGCTTACAATATGGGTGCCCACCTGCAAGAATAAACCACAGTGGAGTAAGTTAGGTGTTGGTGGGTTCTTTCATATTGAATGCTATAAGGATGCAACTGGGTAGACCAAATATTAAATGTAGCTTATAGAAAAACACTAAGATGGCTCTTTAAGGCTTTTTTAGGCCATGAGCCTGAGTAACTTAAGGTACTCATTTTCTAATTTTTGCATATATATTATTATATTATAATAATAATAATAATATATATTGTATAGTACAACTAATCTAAATATATATTTTTATATATAACATATTTTTTTTTTACAACTTGTTTTATGTATATCTTTTCTACAGATGTTCCTTCTCTAGAGAAATACTAATAATTTGCTTTGCTTTTGAGGTGGAAGGCTCTTTAACTGCATAAAAGGCAGCGAAGTGTTATAAGGATTAAACAGACAAAAAGCTGTGTCTACTTGAGACACAGTTCTTATTAGTTATACCATCATGAGATGTTTTACATATGCTGACCACCTTTTTCTCCTTACATTAAGGAGATTGGGAGTACAGAAAGGAAACCTATTAGGCTACTTTATTGCTTCCCTGAGTTTGGTGAAATGAAATGTATTTTCTATTTAAGCATGACGTTTGGTAATAATTTTAGTGTAATAGGAACAAGAGTTAAATCTAGGAAAAGCAACAAGGAGTAATTATCGCTTATCACTTGTCAATCTGATCTGTCAGTCATCTATAAGAAATTGCTATATTACTAGTTAAATATCCTGATAATTAGCTCCATTTGATTTTGATCCACTTTAATTTCTGAGAGGTAATTTTTAATGTTTTACAGTTTGACATTATTTATTAATGGGGTTGATGTCTAAGCAAACTGATGCAGTAACACTACATAAGTGGTAACTTCTGCTGTGAGCTCTAAGTACACTGAAGTTCCATTTTCCGCTGCCAGGCTACCCCTGAGACACACTGCACTCAAGTTGCGGAAGGTCATCACAAAGTTAAATGGGGACAGAACTGGTAACAAAAAAAAATGCTAATTGTAACCTGTCCGTTTTTCAACTGATTGGCACAGGAGAATGGTACTTGGTTGAGGGTGACTATTGTGGGTGTCCTGCTAAGGTGCCACATACTGATTATACTGACAAATACCAAGAAACAACAGTGCAAATACTTTTTTTTTTGACAGGTAACTTTATTAATAATGGTCTTGGCTCTGTCACACCTACCAGGTGCCAGTCTTTTTTCACACTCTGCAAGACTTTCTGAAGAATAAACTACAAAGGCATAAAGTTAGTTGAAGCTACTAAGACACACATTTGAAGGTGGGTCTGTTTTGGTCTTTTTTTTTAACAGAAGTTTCCATGAATGTGTGTCAAAAAACTTAAATACATTGAGAAATACAGCAGAAAGACTATATTTACAGTCAATTATAATGGGCACTGCCAACATATCCAATAAAAAAAATAAAACAAAAACATTTTTCATGTTTCTTTCATGCTTTTTTTTCACAGAGATTTTTAAATATGATTTTGTTTTTTAAAAAATACAATAAGGAAATAATTACATTCTTAATATGAGAACATTATTTTACAACATACAGCCTGGGCCAATTAATTTGAAAGTGTCTTTAACAAAAATTGATACTAAATTAAGTATTATGCATTTCAAAAATCAAATTGCCACAATCATTTCATTAAAAAAAACACCTTTGATCCCCGACAGTTATGATCTGTTTTTTTTTTTTTTTAAAAAAAAAGCATCATAAAAAACAATTAAAAAAAGCACCTGGTACAGTAACAGGAGTTTGTTGAGGAAGCACATTTTCTTAAAAGACATAGAAATGGTTTAAAATACAAGAGTTTTCCTTTAAAACAAAACTCATGCTGCTCTATTGCTGACTTTGCCAGGTGATCCTGAAATCTAAAAATGGTGAAAATACAAGCTCTGTCGCTTTTTATAAAAAAATTGTACAGCAACAGTACTATTCAAGAAAACAGAGTATATATTTCACAGCACCAAATGTGGTCTATAGAGAGGTTATTTTCCCGAGGTTTGGGGTTTGTTTTTCCTTTTTTCAAAACCTTGGCCATTATAAAGAATAGACGTGTCACTAATGCAAATTGCCATGGTACCAATGTACTTACACGGTAGAGAATGTACTTATACATTAGAGACGTACAATTACAGGATGTGCAGGTTGGGGGTGAGGGGGAGGTGGTGGCTTTATGGAGCCTTTGCTGCAGGAAGGGCAAAGGATGCTTAATTTGGCTGCAGCGCCAGGGCTGAGGTTGTGTGCACGGCCCCAGCACCGCGCGATTGCTGTTTGGCTGGACAGAGATTTGCACACTTCTATCTCAGGCATGCGCTAAAACCTGTCCTTGCCCAGGATTTGTTTTTTCTTCATAGGATATAAGGGGGTGGAAGATACAACGGGTAAAAATATTGGGTAAACAAGATAAGTGATTTGGCTTTTGACTACTCTGCACTACTTGATGCGGGACCACTTCTTAATGGCAACTGTTACATCATTGCAAACGTTGACTAGAAGCCTAATTTGCATCATAAATATGTACAGATATAAATTAAATATTTATTGAAATATACAAATAAATAACTTAATTTGAAATAAAAAGCCTAAATGAACTTACTTTTGCTTCAAATTTGTTTCTGCTAATATTTAAGGGAACTTGATACTGTTTAGTCCATAGTCATACAGCATAGAATGTGCCCTCCACTTATAGAGTTAGTAAGTAAGCAGATGACCTAAATTAATATAAAACCATCCTGGTTTCAGTGAAAACCACACTGACACTTGCTTCCCTACGCTATCTGCATTCCTGCGGGACTTTGTACAAAGCACAGTCCCAAGAAGCAAAGAGCCTTTTCTCATGTTGGGCCCCATTTCTGCTCTGCTGAGGTCAGTGGGATCGCTGGCATTAATCGCGTTTGGGAACAGGACACAGCCCTGTGTCCTAGCAGCTCTCAGGTCTTTCTGATAGCTCTGTGCCTTCAAATCCCACCAGCTCCTGTGGAAAGTCCTCTGGCATCCAGCTCAGCTGGGAATCCCAGTGTACCCTTCAAGAGTTACACACGCCTATTCCTAAAGGTAAGAGACGAACTATAGTTTGGGCCATAAAGGGATGTGATCCTTGATAACTGCTGTCTTGCCAATGTCTGTGGTTTTAATTGCAAGTCTTAACTAATTATCAAGACTCCAGCCCTAACATCTGTGATTATCTCGAAGTATGAGTAGTATTTTAATTTTTTTAATTAAAGTAATTTTCTAGTCCTCACAGTTGAGAAAAAAAATCTTGATGTCATTGAAGGCTCTCCAAAGGCTTAAAAAAACACAGAGAAAAAAAATAAAAGAATCCAACTCATTGCATGGGGGTGTTTGTTTTTTTTTTTCTCTCTCTCTCCCCTGATTTTTTAAAGACAATCTTGAGACTTTGAAGGACTTTAGTTGACAATTTACTGCATGTAAGTTCTCAGGAGTGATGTGGATGGAGATAAAGAACAGATTTCTATAATTTTACAGACTAAAATGCAAGACACTGTTTCCCAGTACACAGAAATGGACTCCTGTCGAAGAAAATCCCCAATTCTTTGTAAAACTGTTTATAAAAGAGCCTGGAAACTATCATCTTTTCAATCCATCTTCCTCAAAAATAATAGCTGAGGTCTGAAAAGATGAAGGAAACTAAGTACAGCAGTGTTCTATAACTCAAGTTTAACAATACTATTTATAATAATATTATTAAAAAAACAAACAAACAACAAGACTGACTGCATAAGCTATTCTGAGTTGCCATTATCTGTTGATTAATTTCAATTACGTTTTCTTTTTCAAAAAGTATAGAAAAGAAGCAGTATCCAAAAATACCTGTTTACCTTTTAAAAAAAATCAGGAACAAATCATAGTTCAACAACATGACCTTCGAAAATGACTGGTGCTTTGGAATAGTAATAAAGAGAACGTACTAAAATGCATTATTTTTTTGAAGTATGGCAGCTTTTTATCTCCCAATGACAAAATCATCTGTTCAAATAGTATCCAAAAAATGCTTCACAGCTGAGTCATGTCATCCCACGGTCTTGCACCAGCATAGGGGACAGCGGCACTGAAGAGCTCCTGCCTTCCTGGCCAAGCAAGTCGCACCGTTTCTGTGAATACATTTCTTCAGTTTTCTTTTGCCACGTCAACATCTAACAGCAAAGTGACTGCTAACGAGCAAGACTTTGCTCAGCCACCTCTGTGGCAGATGTCGCAAAGTCAGTTTTAACCTGTATGAGTACTTCTTATCCATAATGATTTCACACCAGTCTTCAGTGGTGTTCAGGCCATCTGATGCGATATAGTTAACGTTGCTGGTCTATGCTGTTTCAGCAAAGTAAACTTTCAACTGCTACTTTATGCTCCTTTTTAATTACTATGGTTGGTTTGGTTTTTTTGGTTTTCATTTTCTTTACCAGTGAAGTTGGAAATAAAGAGTTACAGCTAATAAAAAGGGGCACACGTAGTTACACAGCAATACAGTAGAGGGAATACAGGCAAATTAGCGCCAAGCTACCATTAACTTAAGAGAATTATTAAACCTCTTATGTTGTATCGCTTGATACCACCTTTCAGATGAGTCTTTTGCAGCCTACGTCTTGGTCCATAATAGGTAAGGCTTTTACGGAAAGTGAGTGGTTTTGCTGTATTTATGTTCCATTTTTCATCTCCCATTCCTGGAAAGGGGGGGAAGGGGCGGGGGGAGAAAAAGATACGGAAAATGTTAGAGAAATCAGGATATTTCACTGATGTCATCAGATCTGCTAAGCCAAAGGCAGCTGAGGTCAGTAACAGTTTTTCCATTAACTTCACTGGATCCAGCCTTCTGCCCACAAATTAGTTAGGGAATGCTAACAAGTATGTTCTGATAGTGTCTGCGCACAGCTTCCACCCCTCCACAACTATACATGGCAACTATTCCTCTAGCGCAGTGCAAATAAGCCATGTTTGTTTTCTGCAAAGGGTACTTACGAAAAAATTCACACACCGCAGTCAGTCTAAAGCACTCATGTGGAGCTGAATAAGAGAGAGGCTGATTTAGCATATATATAGGGCTTTCTAACTTATTTGCACGAGACAGCAGGAAGCACTCAACAGTTCTCATAGCTGACACCAAGTGATTGCTTTACTGTTCAGTTTTTTATTACAAAACTCATGGCAAACACACGTTTCTATGGCTAAAAAGGGCCACTTACTGAGGTAGAGCAACTTACAGGCAGGGTAAAGGAAAGCAAGTTCATTAACACTGCATTGGTTTCCCGGGTACACAACCCAAGTTGAGCTACTGCTTGGTAAGTTAAAGAGATCACTTTGCCTTTCTGTGCCTCAGTTTCCCCACCTGTTGGCTGAGGACAACGACACCTACCATCCATAGCAAAGCACGTTATCTATAATGCTTTTATCCATGTACCTCAGAGCAAGGTATTCCTATTTCTTCTGCTACATAAGTGAAAATCATGAGATTCCTGTAGCTAAACGCCCGGTTAAATCAAACTTGTGCCTCTTGAATTGAGAAGCAGAAGAGTTGAAGAGGGATGGGCTCAGCCTAGGACATCCATACTGTACCTACTCCCTGAATCACACCCGTACAGTGGTGAGGAAATAGTGAAGATACGAAGGAGTTGGCCTCTTGCTGAAGTAATCCCCATGGAGCAACCGCCCAGCTGTTCCCAGCCAGGCACTGGGGTCTACAGATTCCTCTCCCACCCATCCACTCTGCAGAGATACTCTGCAGGCAGCCTGCTAACTTGGCTCCCAACCCAAATTCCTGAATTTAACACTCATTCCACGACATTTAAGAGCTCTGGCTGAAAACGGTTACTTATGCATGTACATATCTGTTTCTGCTGCTGAAAGCAGTAATAGCATTAGTTTGGCTAAACAGCTGCGTGACCACGATACCTTTTCCACCATTGTGAAGCTACAGTAAAGGTGACAGTTGGTGGCTGCTTTAGCAATATAAGAAAAAAATCTTGGGTTTAGACAATAATTTAGTATTTTCTTAATCTTGTGGGTTGTTGTTTTTTTTTTTCTTCACTTAAACGGTGCTTTTATTAAAATGCAATGTATTTTAAATATTCAGTCTTACACTTCAAATAATGGTAAACCTAAACTTAAAACACAGTATTGGTAAAAACTAAATTAGTTTTAAAAGGATATTAAATGTATATTCTCTATGTATATGCTGCCAAGGCTCTAAAGGAAGTCATTGGCTAAGCAACCAGGAGGAGAATTTTTCTAAGTGTTAAAAAAGCCTTGAAAGCAGTAGCTCCTTTTGCAGGTGCAGAAGGAACTTTTTCTTTGTTTCCATTTCCCAGGCAGGTTCATGCCAGTGAAAGAATGTTTAAGTCAACACTGAGAGCCTGCCTGGGAGCTGGGACGCTGGGAGAGCTCCTTTACTTCTCCAGTCCCTGAACGTAAGGAAAATGTAAACTGCTGACATTCAGCAGTCCACCAGTTTTAAAAAGAGATCAGAAATAATCATTGCCATTTCCTTACTGCACGTAACAATTTGGTTTTAGAAATTAATTTGACATGTGAACTATTTAGATAATTGTTTTTCTTGTACAGCAAGGATATTGGGAGTATTTTACTTCTCTGGGAATGCTAATGCAGAATATTGTTTTCCACATTTTTAATACAGTCTCCATTTCCAGCCAAGTAGAGATTAACAAAATTACAATTGAAATGCCTTCTGACTTCTTCAAAATACGCACTATTACTTTCTAAAAAAAAAATTAAATTAAAAGCATGTTACAAACAGAAAAGTTTAAAAATCCAGATATGTGTATGCATCTATGTGTATAAGTGCAGTATATGTCCTAAACAGTCAATCCCCAAATTGCTGCTAGTTCTTAGATTTAACACTAGATCTGCTCTCCTGCTTCTCTCTGTACTTCCCTCCCGTGTCAGTGCACCTGCGAGGAGAGAGATTTTGGTGGAGCAGCTTCCAAACCTGCTGTCTCTGGTGCCTCTCCCCGGCTCCAAGGCGCCGCGGTGCCCGGCAGCTCTGAGGGGGGAGTCTGCACGGCGCCGGCGGTGCACAGCATCCTCTGCCCTAGCAGAGAGGGGCGCAGTGCTGCAGGCTCATGGCGGTGACATGGGGGTGTGTGGCTGCAAGCGCAAAGCCGGCCGGTGACAGACTCAGCATCCTTTGCGCAAGGGAAGAGCAAGAAGGGAGGCATTCAGTGCATTCAAATACATACTGGGGGGCGGGAATAATCTGCCATTTTGAAGGCTTATACAGCTCCTTCATAACACTGGGAGGTGTGCCAGTTGCTGAAGATGCAAGCGCTAGCACGGATGTGAAACCTGTTTCACGCCCACATGTTGCACCGACATTCCATGCGTGGAGAGCCAACTAAGTTTTGCTCTGGGATACTCACGTGTGACGGCCTTTCTTGAGCCACATCTACAAGGCCTGGGCTCACGCATCACTGCAAAAGGCCAAAAGAACTGAGAGCCAGATTCCACCCTCTCACATGGACATTGAACTCCCCCCCCCCAAAGGCGGGGTGTGCTGTAGATGCATACCTGATGGCAGACTTTGGCTGCAGCTCCTTGCAAACGGGCTGAGCACAGCTTGGGTTGCACTATCTAATTCAGCAAAATTTCACTCTTCATATTTAGTGCATGAGGTTTTAGGAAAAAGCTGTTAAAGCTGAATTGGATACTTTGAGTTGTTTTTTCCCAGGATGGGAAATATGCTTAGTAGCTCCATATCCTTTCTGATGAGCCTAATCCTATCTCCAAGATTCCTGTACAAAAGAGCTTGACCAACCTATCGTGCCATCCAAAGCACAGCGATATCAAACAACACAGCAGGGATTTTCCTGTATGGTATACACTGAGCATAAAAAATGTACTACAGCTGGAAGGTATTCTTTACACTAGAAATGTTTAGGTTTTTATAATGCCCTGGTTTCTGCAGCTGTAGAAATTAAATGGCTGGCTTTAATGCGCCTGTCCAGCGTGTAGCACAAATCCACTCTCCCTTGCCTAAGGACTGTGCTCTGCTAGACCGCATTCCCTGACAAACGCTGTCCTAACATGCAAAGTGTGTATTTAGAGATGATATCTTTATGAGACAAATTAGGGTATAATTGGAATACACAGATAAGCTTTACAGCATGTGAATCCTTCTTCAGGTTTGAAACAAAAGCAGCAAATGTCACAGTCAAAGAGAACTGAAACCTGTTATGCTGAGTTTAATCATTCTTAGTTGAATTTAAATGAATCAGGCTAATCGGCAGAAAAAGCGGTTGATGTCCACGGAAAGGATGGAGGACACGGTGGTATAATAAGGGTGAGAAAGCTCTCACATAAGGTACAGTGGGAGAAGTAATTCATGGCCTGGGCAATGTAGAGAGGTTAAAGGAGCTGGGGGGAGGAAACATAAAGATTAGGATGTGCCAGGAAACCAAATCATTTGTTGAGATGATGACTTTTCAGTATCTACTACATTTAGGTGCCAGGCTTATGCTCACTCACTGTAAATGCATATAATGAATGAAGAAAACATCACAAAAGTTACTTAAAAAAAATCCCTATACAGAATACTTCATTGTTTTGAAAAAAAGAAATGGGCTGCATGGAAGACAAATGTCTGTGATTATTATTGTTTATAATTACAATTAGCAGTGAACTACTTAATAAACAAAAGCTTGGGCCAATGCTATTACTGTCACCCTCAGTTATACGCTGCCTACATGCTTATGTTACTAGCAAATTTAGCCCAAAAGAATGGTCATAAAAATCTTATTTAAACTAAAGCACAAGAATTAGAGAACTCGAACAATACAAGAGGACCGCAAACTTCAGCCTGGTACTTGTGAGACTAAATTAAATTATTTCAATTTCTGCTTTAAACGTACATTAAGAGTAGATACTTGCACAACACATTGTTGATTATTATAATGTAGAACTATTTTCTTGCACCAGCTGGCAAAGATCAGACCCAATCTTGTGTTGTTTCAGAACACTTATTATTAACAGTCCTCTTTTAACCACTTCTCTGCTACACGGATTAGTGTAACCTTATGAATTTTAGATGGTCTGTCTACACCACAGACCACTTACCTTGCAAATTAAATCTCTAAAGTAACAGAGAAAAGCAAGGAATAAGACAGTAGAGTCAAATCTGCCCCCCAAACTACTTACCAATTCTTCTGCAGAAGGTTCCCCAAAATCAGCAGTATTTATGTAGTAATATAAAAGATTTAGATATGGCACATTCTCTTCTTAAGGCTAAATTTCACCCACGGAAGCAGCAGGAACCAATCTTTCCCTTTCTCCTTCTCTGTTGCTTTTTCTCCACAAGCAAGTAAGATTTTTTAAGAAAGTAAGAAAAAGGACAGAAAAAGAAAACTAGACATAAGTCTTCTCACCTTCGCTTTTCGAAGGACGTGGCCTCGACATGGAGAATTATTTGTCGAGGGAGGTCGCTTCAGAGCTGCTGCACTGTTCACAGGTATTGAGCATTCAGTATCACTGGTATCACAGCTGGAGATTGGAGAGTTTTCCAAAGTTCGGTGCTTGAAAATTGGAGACTAATGAAGGGTGAAAAGCCTACATTGAGTTTCCTCCAAGAAGTCACATGGGCAATGTTTTCTATCTAGACTTAGAACTGCAGATATTTTTTTTTAAGAAACCATATTAATAATAATGATCGATAAATGAAAAAGAGGTTAGAACAACAAAAAAACCCCAAAATGAAGTGTGTGTTCTGTCATGAAAATTAAAAATCATTTTCTGTGATTCAACAACATTGAGTGATCCAGAGGAACTGACACATCCCTCTCTGGTCCTTCTGATATCTCCTTCTGACAGAGCATAAGCCAGAACCACCATACTCCATCATGAATGTGTAAGATGCAGCCCTTGCAAAGGGTGACAGTAACGGAGAGGGGACTGAGACAAGTGGGTCTCCATCACTGTATCATGACTTGCTGCAGTTAAATCTCTGTTGCATGGAGCAATGTCTCAGTTCATGCACTTATTACTGAGGACATGCACTGTCACTGAGGACAATGAGGTGTCAGCTTTTACACATTATCCCAAGACATACTACCTGTGATTCCCATGTCTGCCCGATCCTCATTGCTGTAGAAAGTACACCAGATGTAGGTGAAGAATGTAAATATCACAGAAAGGCATTTAGTTCTGCTCTTATTTCCTGGTCTTAATAAACCTTTTGAAAACTCTCAGTTCCCATTCATTTTACTGGAGCCGAGAAGGCAGAGCACTCCCAGCCCATGGTACTGGGATTTATGCTTTTAAGGGCTTTGCATACCTGTGGGCTTGATGTTCCTGACTTGGGCTCAATAGCCAAGCCCAGTGTGATGCCACCAGCCAAGGCTTTCTTAAGGCTCTCCTTCACCTCGGTCAGTTCTAGCTCCAGGTTTACACGCTCAGCCTCCTTCTGCTTACACTCCTCTTCCAACTTCTTTAACTTATCTTCAAGAATCACTTGGGTTTTCCTGCCTGTCATCCACAGCAATGTTGTTATTTCAATGAGAAGCTTAAATTGACACTTAAAGAAATGATTTTCTTTTAAAAAAGGTAAGGAACAGGGTCTCTAAAAATCAATGACATCAGAAAAAAGTTATGTACTTTCCAAAAAAACACTTTTTCATCTAAAAAGTTTAGCAACAGAAACCAGATGCATTCTTTAAGGTGCCTTCCCTTGGTTTCTAGTCTAGTTTCAAATCAGTATTTGTTTTGCTATTTTTCCATGTCACGAAAATATAATTAACCAGTCACAATAAAATTATTCCCATGTTCTGCTCATCTGAAGTCCCCATCAGTGTAATTTCATGCGTGTATATATATACACACACACAAATATATATAAAATGTGTATATAAAAGAAGTACATGCGCCTGTACATGTATATAATATAAACATATATATTATATGTTTTATATCTATATGGAAAGCAAGTATAGACATTACAGAGTATCGTTTCACATCAAAACCAAACCTCATGTAGTGACATGTCTTCAGTGCAGAATACAAAGCTATTTGGATAATTAAGCCTACTCAGGGCAGAAGCTGTGCTGAAGCACAAAAAAGCACGTCATACCAGCATTGACTTCAATAGCAGCACGTAGATCTTTTCTTTCTTTTCGGAGCTGGGCCAGCCTATTCCGGAGGGCTTCTTTCCTCTTTAGCAGTTCCTCCTCTTTGCTTTGTAACCTCTTTGCATCGGCCTCCACACGATTCTTGCCATATTTGTACTGCTCTGCATCTGTATATATTAGATCGTAGTTATTTATCATTAAAATTAACAGTAAAACTCTAAACTATTCCCTGAGACTGAACATCAGAAGCAGCATGTCATGGTTTGAGAAACCAGTTGGCCATCCCTCTTCCACTGGCTTTTTCTCAGGTTCCATGATTCCCACTGAGTTCTGCAGCACAGCTACAAAAATGCTAAGGGTTAGTTTGTTCTCTACGTTCATATGGGGAATATAAGAAATACCAGTTACCTTATAGTACATTGGTTCTGAAAAATGGCGTTGCCTTTCTACATAGTTCAGAGGAAGGAAAGGAGGGTCCTCTTTAGCTCTGAACCCTTGATTTTTAATTGGAAGGGGTCACAGGAAAAACTACCTGTTTGCCCTTATCCATGGTTTCCATTCCTACTTCAAGGGCTTAAGGCACACATCTTTTCTCACCTGACATAAGAGAATGCAAAGATGTTCGCACATTTTTTTTTATACTTGAGAGCTTTCTTCTTCTTCTTTTGTTTTGTTTTGTTTTTTTTTTTTAATTTCCCATATAAATACCATTTCATGGCTCACATCTATCTGTGCTCTAATTTATACTACAGCCCCTTCTGTGCCTCTGCTCCAGTTGCAGACTCAAAGAAAATAGGTCAGCTAACAGATCACTTTGTCTGTCTGCATATCTGAAGGCAAAGTCAACTAAAGTGCTCCTGACAAAGAGTTGTCAAACCAGTTTTAATCAGTCTTTAGTAATGAAGATGCCTTTACTCCCCCAACTATCTTTTCCAGTACCAACAGACCTGCATAGTTTGAAAGATACAGACATTCTCCCTGAAGTCTAACCTAAACTTGTCTTGTTGCCATTAAATCCATGAGTTCTTAAAAATTTATCATGGGATTAAAAAACCACATTCTTTCCTTCTCTAGCAGAAGCCGTAATTTTTAATCCATATTTAAAAAATATGATTATAGTTCTTTTTTGTCTTTTCCTCTTTAAGCAAAGCAATCCCCATTAGGGATTTCCTAGAGGCAATTCCCCTGCCCAGAAGAACCCTTTCTGAATGTGCCACTCACCAATTGAAACCTCCTCTCTCTGAGGAAGCTTTTGAGCTGTCTGGTTGTTTTCATCATTTTGTTATACCTTTTCTTTTTCATTACTGATAAGTGCTTCCACTTTTGACCAATATGGTGTTCTCACGTCTTTTTCAGTTCCTCATATGCCTCTTCCAACAGGAATACAGAATTACTCTCTGCCCCATTGTTTTGGGGCTTTTTTTTCCCGATGCCCTCATGACTACGCAGCCATGGGTCCACATTTCATATTTATCACTCTCCATATGAGAACCCTTTATCTCGTGGCATGGCTGGAGTACTAATGAGTCACCAATGCACACAATATCTCCTATTCAAAGTCTTGGTGGGCATCTCCTGCTCGGCCTCTCAGCCACAGAAGAAACACAGTGGTTCTTTATCTTGTTTGCTAAGACGACCACTATTTTGGGTATCCTCATGACTCCATTCGCAAGTGAGGTAGCAGCGAGGAAACATACTTACTGGACGCAGTGCGCTTCACACATGACACTGATTCAGATTTCTTCGGCTGGCTATTTAAAGTTCTCCCTTTTCCGGTGATCCCATTAGCAGTTGCAGGAGGCTTCTTGCCTTTAAACTGTTTGAAAACAAAAGTACAAATGGGCTCCAGCTATTCCTGTGCCACTGGCATTATAGTCACCCTTTCACCAAGGGCAAAGCTTGACAAAAAGCCCCCTGATCGGGGAGCCTTAATAGACTGCATTGATTGAGCTGGAGACGGTGCTTCCTCCAGAGATGTCGTCTCTGACAGCTGCCGGCTCAGCGGGAGCCACACCAGCAAGCACAGGATAACAAGGGGATGAACTTCCCATCTCTGGTGGCATCATGGTCTCCAAGTTATTTAAAACTCTGGCATTTACTATATTAAGAAAGCCATTGCGAGGCAGAGAAGTTGTACCTTTGAATAATTTTATACAGTAAAGATTCTTGAAACACAGCTTTGTCAGAGTTAATTTCATACACAAAAACCCAACAGGGTTTGCCACACAAAGATTCAACACTGTTTCTTATTTACTCTATGGCCTTGCCATCCTTGTGGTGCATGGCTTTATTATTATTTTTTTTCAAAACAATATAATTATTACACATTTTTAAATGGTAGGAGTTAGCATCTCAATTTCCTCTTATACAACTTCTAGCTACTCATTAAAAGCTTTTCTGAATTAAAAGAAGCTCTCATAACGGCCAGACAAGCTCACAAGATTACCAGAAACAGCACATTTCATGTCCAAGGGGTTTCAATTTGAAAGGCTCCCCTGCCCTGCCCTGAACCCTGGGGAGCGCAACACTGTCCTTGACTAAGCGTAGTGTTTCCACGGGGGTGCCTTAGCCCAGCACAGGGCATACGTGTGCCATGCTCCGGTCACCTGCTTCCAAAAGCTTTTGAGGACTGAACTGGGTGTGCAAGAAGGTCTGCTGTTGCAGCCTAGGATCAGGGCAACTTATTGCTCCAGTCCACCTCTGATTCTGCAACATCACTGAATTCTAATATTCTGAAATGAAGTTTTTATAGGGGCTAAATGAGTTAACCTTATTCGACGGAATCACTTATCTAACTGTTCCATTTCAGATTAGACTGAAACCCACTCATCTTTGTGATACATTCACAGGCTCATGCCAATGACCAGCTTTTGGAGACTGGCTACGGGCTTTGGAGACGGTCCCTGGTGTAGCTGTGAGAGAGGTTTGCTCCCCAGCTGGGGTCTGCCTGTCTGCTATTGAGGGAGAGCACACAGGACTTAATTTCTTTTTAGCTTCACTTTCACGTCAGCTGAGGTCCAGAAGCCGGAGGCCATAAACACAGGCTTAGGGTTTTTTCAGGGGAAGAAAATAACAGGTGGTAATTTAAATACAGTATATACACACTATATACAATATAATTTATAATAGATAGAATGTATGTTATGATATATATTCACAATATATATAACTGTAGTATATACAACATACAGATTAGTAAAATTCTAGAGAGGCAAATTTGCTGTCACAGCCAGGTCATATTTCACTTTTTTTTTTTGCTTTTTGAAGTCATCACTGCCTAAGGAGAGAGAAGGCAGCGAGATATGCATTCAGGCTAAGTTTGGAAAGTCACATCTATTTTTTTTGTTATTATCCATAATCTGTAAATCATCAAGAACTTATGGGGAAAGCCCTTCCCAGACACCCATACTTCCACATCAGAATTTACAACTTAGCAAAACCATTTCATTTGCAGTGGGCTCATGACTAAACTCCAAGCACTTCAGTGCTAAGACTAAGGGACTGAAATAGCCCAAAGCCCTGAAGATAACAACCAGATAAACAGAACAGTCAAAAATAAAAAGTTTTGTTAAGTATTAAATAGTACAGTACCTGTGAGCCAGATCCCCTCCCCACAGCAGAGGTATTAGTGACAGACTGAGCAGAAGACAGATTGGATGAGACAGGGTATTTGTAATGGTTAGAGGAGAGTTTGTCAGTAGATAACCTATTGGGTTTTCTGTCAGCTGGTGGATAGCGCGCAAAGATTTTTGGAGACGGCAAGTTATCGTACAGGCCTGTGTTATCATAAAGCATTTCTTCTCCAATGTTCCTGCTACGAGAAGAAGGAAAGCCATCTTCTGGTTCCCACTGCAACACATACACTTTGGCAGTTAGTAAACAATACACCATGCAGCACCTCCTAAGTGAAATTAAAACATTAGTAATTTTTTTGACCCTAGCAAGCCCTCGGTGTTTAGCAAGCATATGCTTATTGCTTATGTTTGAATCTAACTATGTAGGAAGGGGAGGGGAGGACACAGTGTGGAAAGGAAGCATTGCATTACAGGCCTTGTAGCCTCAGTCCATTTTCCAGAGTATGAGCAAACCGGCACTACGCTGTCACCTTGCTGTGTCACAGACTGCACCTTCCCTTGTTAGCTCTGGCACTGAGGGGGCACAGGCAGGCTGTGTTAACAGGGAGATACTCGCAGGCTACACAGATGGATCAGTGGGATTACATCTGGTACGTGAGTTGTTAAAAGTAGTATAGCCTAACAGTTAGCAGAAGCCAAGAGGGTTTTTCTCCTTTTTTTTTTTTTTGTCTTTCTTCAGGCTATATGTCTTTCCAGTGAATACCAGCTGCTGGTACGCTAGTATTCCATTTTATTTGCTGGAGAATTATTATTCTGATCTAACCAGCTAAAATAGCCACAGGCCATTCCTTTTTTTTTTTTTTTCTTTTCAGAAAAATGGAAAGTTCAACAACAATACTGCAGTGATTCATTCAATTAATCTTAAAATAAACCAACCTGGTTGCCAAATATCCTTCCTTAATCCAACCTGGCTGTGGCAGTACACTACTCATACAAAGGCATGAGCACATCCAAGACCTACACGTACAGACTACTCACCACACATGTGGCCGTGTGTTGTTCCCAAGAGGGGCTTTCTACCATAATTTTGACATTACTAAGACATGATGGAGGGCTGAACTTGCAGTCCACTTCACACTTTGAGACTCTGAATTCCTCTTGAGTTCAGCCTTAGTGGGGGCCTTTATGAAGCAGCCCAAATTAAGAGCTGACATGAGCTGTAGCTCCCCCGTAAATCTTCTTGAGGACCACATACATGTGTTAAACCCCATCACACATCTGCCTACAACCAGCTCTGCAAATTGTAAAGATGGCAATGAACACTGTGGTTCTCTTTTGCGATGAGCAGTACCTGCTGTCTTGAGGAATGCAGCCCCAGGGACTTAGAAGTGTTTGGGTTTTGGGTTTTTTTCAACAGACACCAAAAAGTGCCTGGAGTAACTGAGTCCTTAATTTTGCCAGGTCCGGTGTGATCTAAAAAGTACCCCCTCGAGTGAGTATTATATTCAAGGACTTGGCAACCAATCGTCAACAGGCAACTGCTTTCTAAATGCATGTTGGCTCACATGCAGGTTAATGTAAACAGTATGTCGCACACCCCTAATATTCTGTAGGTGTGAGAGAAGTTTGCAGCCCCCAATCAAAAAAATAGGAGTTCATTTGGAAACTACCCAATGGGGCTTTTTAGATAATATAATTTTCAGATGTCCATGCATTCAACACATGCAAACCATTTCTTCTGTGCAAATTCAATTCTTACCGATCCATTTATGCAGGGAACATCATCGTAATGAAGTGCCATTCCACTCGGACAGGCGTAGCCATTGGCAGTGCTTCCCCGATACGGATTTGTAGATATAACTCGCCTGTTCATAAAACTGAATAAAGCAAAATAAAAATAACAGAAAACAGCACTTGAACCTAAGTTTAAATGATGATTCAGTGGTATGTTCCCTGTATCTGATTATGCAGCCTGGAAGCACATACCTTCTCACTTCATGCAGGAAAGCTGAGGACAGTTTTCTTTCTTTTGCTACTCACATGCTGCTGCTAGCAGCCAATATTACAACATATGTTCCTGTACTCTGCTCTTACAGTGGGGATATGACTGTGTGAAAGCCAGGAGGGCAACAGCTGTAACTGCTCAGTGGCATGTTTACATGGCAACCTGCCGATCTGTGTTATAAACCAGCTTGCCAGCGTCCCATAAAAGTTCCCTTGTTGTCTGCATCGGGCAGAAGCAGGTGTTTCTGGGTGCATGCATGCTTGGCGGGGGGATGCGAACTTAGGAACTGGGAGAAACAAGAATCACATCCAGTAAAAATTTGAAAAAAAAAAAAAAAGTGGAACTGATGAAATCTATGTTAACATTTCTATAAAAATTTGCTGAATGTTTTTTTTCCTCAAAATTGTTTCCATATCAGAAGCTTTGGCTGGGTAGAGTGTGCAGAATGGCATTCTACTTCCCAACTCTCTCTGGGTAACTGTGCACGCTAAGTCTCTGTATGTTCATTCTTGCTCTATTTCACATGGTGAATCTGAGCCCTCTGGACATTTCAAAAGGGAGAGAGAAAGATGTATATGTATATGTTTGTTTATTCCCCCCCTCTCCCCAAAATCAACATTGCAGCTTGTTTTACTGGAATTCTGCAGAACAGATGCAGGATATCACGGACCACAGCAGGCTTTGTGTTAGAAGCAAAGATCTAACAGTGTGGAAAATGGCAGAATCGGGCCCAATAGCAGTAACAACCCCAGGGGTAAGTTTTCCTTTGGAGCAACTGCTGAAACTGAAGAAGGTATAGAGATCTCAAATAATTCCTATAGCTACAGGTGTACGTGAATGGGAAAACAAAGCTTTCCCATCCCAAACAATGGAACCATTTAGACTCTGTGCTGACATTCATAAAATATGATAATGCCCTACTAAAGCAGAGAGGGTCTTCTGTAGCGCTGGCTGGAGCTCAAGAATGCTGTGGTTTCCAACAGTTGCTTTCTTTTAGCGTTGGAATAACATGAGGTCCATTGAATCTCTCATTCAGAGGGAGACAGACCTCATCCAACTGTGGCTCACCTGAGCCACAGGAGACACGGGCTCACAGGAGGAACGAACCTGCCCAGTTCGGTGTGAACCTTTCAGGGCAGGGCGGGGGTGGAATAATCATGAGACAGAAGCTCTTCTGACTTCAAACAAACAAACAGCAAAAAGCCCAAGATAAATTCCATGATAAAAATGTTTTTAACTTTATCATATCTCATACTTTATTAGACATTATTAAAGGGCTGCATTTGTTTACTGTTCCTCTTAATGCAGAACATTACTCAAGTGTTTCTGGTTAGTTTGAAGGACTGCGTTTGGAGTCGTTATTGTATTACTTTCTGTTTAACTAGCTTCAATGAGAGTGATGCATAATAACCATGTCTGAAAACTGGGATATTCATTAATGACATCCGATGCACCTGTAGTAACTATTTCCACCACCAAAGGAAGCTAAGATTTATCTAAGTATCTGCAAACACTTCATAAGCATTATTTCACTAGGCCTCATTAATCCTGTTTTAATCCTGTTTATGGATGTAGCCATGTAAGTTAATTGTATTCTGAAAGTGCTAGATGGGAAACAAAACAGAGAAAACCGGCTTGGAAGCATTTTTTCTTCAGCCTTGCCTAGATACCTAATGATTTAGATGAAGAAAATTGATGGGACTATTAATGAAGAGTCAATCATTTTGCAAAGCATCAGTCTCGGGAAACAAATAACCAATAATCCTGAAGTGACTGTGCAATAGTCAAAGCTTTAATGATAACTGCAGTTAATTTGGAATACTAATATTCAGGCCAACAGTAGTATTTTATTAACACTTAAATATCATAATTTCTCCTCATTTTCTAGGAGCAGCAAACAGTCTAGTTGCTTGTCAACAAGCTCTTACAGTCTTTTAAAGACATCAATGAATTTTAACTAATTCTTAATAGGGGAATTCTGCTATTTTGCGTTGTTTGACATTCCTTGCTAACACGTGGTCCAGTTGCATATGTTTTTTCACTTGGCTCCAATTAATATCACATTTGTTCAGAAAAGGAAAGCCAAGCAGTGTTCAGGGGAAAAGGGTTCCATTCTATTTCTTTCTTAAATGTGGTTATTGCTAGATGCTGACTGAAGCAAAAATACATGTCAACACCGGATAAACTTTTTGAGCTCTACTAACTTCAAAACAAATATTAACATAAGTTGTAAGTGCATTTCGATACTATCAAAATTACGTGGTTTTCACAAAACTGGGTTTGTGGTAACACTGAGTCGCTTTGATTTCTATCAGAAGCCATTCAAACTAGATCCTGAATGAAGCTGCCCATTTTCCCTTGTTAAAGCCCTCTTTAACACCTCGCTAATGGTAGGACAATCTTCTTTCGGAAAACTCTGAAGGTTTTGCCCTTTTTTCTTTGCATTTTCAGTCTGTTTAAAGGTATGATGGGCAGATGGGGTGTGTTTCTCTAATGTATTAAGGCACACAAATTCCAAAATTGTGTGTGGAGTCTCATCTTGCAGTGAGATGGGGCATGACGCTTTTGCCAGCTGTCTTCTCAGGCCACCCGCTTTCTGACCCTGGGAAACTACGGGGTATGGCTGCAGCAGGACATCCCGCCTGTTCCAACTATTCCTTCACTCTGTTTCTAAACAACCTCATCCAGCTAAGGAAAAATGACAGTCTCTTCCCACCAAAGACTGCTTTAATGCCGAAACTGATTTGAACATGTAAGTCACTATATATGCTAAACATGCATTACTTTTCTTAGCACAGGATCAGTAATGGGGAATTCACTGCACTGATTTGCAATTCAAGCAGAGCTTCCATGCTGCGCCCTAGACACCTTTCCAATTTCCACCTCCTAAATTAAAACCCAGAAATTAATTGGACTGGTGTGAGCTTGATGAAGTTTTTAATTAATCATAAAGAACTTGAGAAGGAAACACTAAGAATGTGATTATCCAAGACTTAAATTCGCTATACATTTTTAGTGTACAGCATATACTGGCCAATATATGCTGTACATATTGGCTATATGTACAGCAAGTACAGCCAACAGATAAACATGAACTATACAGCTGCATATTTCAGGATATTTGTCCTCTTCCAGAGACAGTTCTAAGTCTTCGCAAAATAAAAGATTAAAATATAGCATTTGATAAGGAGACACTGAAAAAATGAGGAAAGATTTGAGTAAAGTTGGATGGTGTCTGTGTCTTTTACGGAACTTAGCAGGATGCCAACACGATAATCATAAACACATCTACCATGCTGCAACGCTAAAACACTTCAGGAGTTCAATATCTGGCAAAGAGGGAGGTGGATTTTGATAAGCTGTCTTGGCACCAGACTTAACATACAGATATAAATTCCCAGAGTACTGGAAACACCCGGGTAGCTGAACGCCTCTCACCAGAAAGTCTGTTTGGCAGCCTGGATGACGCTTGCCGTCATTTCCACGTCAATGTAGTCATAGTGCAGAGCTCCAGGGTCTGTCGAAGACCCCGTTTCCGCCAGCAAAATTCCTATCCATCTGCCCATGTCTTCAGAGGAGGATGCCTGCAAGGAGAGGGCAAGAGTCTATGTCAGGTCTTTAGTCTGCCACTGAACTGAGAGTTATTTCAAAAAGGCGCATTCTTTTTGGCTGACAAATTGCTACCACATTGTAGGAGAGGCTCTGATTTCTCTCTCCTGAACTCCTAAAAACCCCAGGATTTCTTATTAAGTCTGCTCTTAAGGAGTGCACTCTAAGTAAGCTATGTGCTCATCAGTTATGATGTAATACAACGTGGGCAATCTCCAAAAAAAGAAGAAAAAAATAATCATTTAAGGCTAGTGGACTTAGATTCAAGTCATGATTATTTTAGGACTCAGAAAATTGAAAGCTATAACAGAACTATTTTCCTGTGCTAGGCTGGGGGATTTTAGTTAGCATGACTCCTGAGCAGAAAATGTCACTGCTAAGTCGAAACGATGGGGGGTGGGAAATGAAATAGTAGAAGAGATTTTAATGTTGTTTTTTCAAAAATTCCAATACGTTTGTCTAGATGATGGCATTAATTTTCCTAATGGCACAAGTACAAACATGAATACTATTAAAATAATTCTACATTTTTCGTATTTTGCTTCAAGTCAGCAATTGCAAAGTTAAACAGTAGCAAAATAAATAATGGGAAAAAAGGGGAAAAGGAAACTGTGCCATTTCTAAATTTCTTCTTCTTTTTAAATATTTCATTGCCTCTCACAGTTCCTTGAGCTGCTTTCTAGTTTTTCAACTTCTCTGAACTGCTCACATACAACAGCCCTGGTTGCAAGGAGAGGAGACTATCGTGACCTGCAGTCGGATACCCAAAGCGGTCAAAGTGTCCATCCTGCCACTGAAAGCAAAAGGTTGCCTTCTCCTCATTATTATACTTATATTTGGCTTTATATTATACTTGGCTTTAAGTTCTCATTTCAGCTTTCGAAATATGATGAATAACCCCCCCCGAAAATCCTGACCCACCTCACATAGATCTATATATATGTGTGTATGACCTTCGTAGTGTGAGAAGTGTGCCACTGTGTCCACATGTGGTGTGTCGAGAGACTCACCAGGATGCTGGCAGGCTTTATTTTCTTACTGTAGAATTACCTTAACATGGACACAGACTGAGCAAAAGTGGTTCACGTAAGTAGCAGACAAATGAGAATTAAGAGGTCTAGAGTTCCCATCAACAGCAATCCATTATTTAATTATTGCTAAGTTATTTACCCAAAGTAATTATATCCCTGATGTAAAAGTGTGTATAGAGAAGGAGCAGGAATATTTTAGTAGCAGGTCAAGGGAAGGTCAGTGTAGCGAAAAGCATCTTACTGAGACGATTTCTGAACTGCATTAAATCTCAGTTGTCTCTTTGCCTACAGTTCTTAATATTTTATTTCTCCTTCCAGTATTTATTTTCCAGCTCTGCAGTAATATTATTCCAAAGATTTTTTTGAATGGCCAGGTTGTGTGAAAGTGCTTCCCTAATTTATCTTGTGGGTGTTCCTACAAGTCATAGCCATTAGCAACCACCGCACCTCAAGCACAGCAACCTCCTGCCCATTTCGGAGCAGGCGGAAGGTCAGAGGATGCTTTGAATCCAGTCCCGGGATCACTTCGCAGCCACGGAGAGGGATAGAAACAATGTGCGTCTTCAAATCTGTCCTGTCCTTGTGGAAAATGAGTTTATTGTCTTTCACTCTGCACCAGCGCTCACGCCAACGGTTATTTGAGAGCACGTTGAGATATCCTGCAATAAAATGAAACGCGAGATATTTTATTCCTGGCTTTTTTTGAAAAGAAAAAAAAAAAAAGGAAACTTACTCTTCAGTGTAAAGCTAGCACTTAAACAACTTATTCTCTTATAATAGAAAGTCCAGATGGATTTTATGAAGACAACTAAATGACCCTGCCCCACTTCTTTTAATGAAAAATTTCACTGTTCCAATAACCTAGAAAAAAGCATACAAAGATGTGATCCTGCTCACGTGCAGATGGCTGTTCTCTGTTATTCACTGCAGTGGCTGGTTAAATAGGAGCACATGGATCCCCAAGAGTTTAGTAAGAATGGGAGAGGGACAGTGATAAAAGGGTACATACACAGCCAGTGTGCTCACACAGAAGACCCACCTTCTCCATGTGTAATGGCTTTGATCACTGTGGCTGACTGAAATTGTCTGGAAAAATCACAGCTCATATTGTGTAATTAAGTGATAAGCAACCTTCTGTAACATCCAAAATCAGTGTTTTAAAGTCCTACTAAGCGTTGATTTTACATGTTCTAACTTAATTTAGAAAGGAGTATTCAGGCTTGGTTTTCAATGCTTTTAAAGCAGAATTTAAAAGATCGCTGCCAATGCCAACAAGAATAAAATTCGTATTTGTTTAAAATTCAAGAAGTAAATATATATGAAATTCAACTGAACTTCAAGACAAAAGTTTAAACAATGATCTTTTTTTTTCCAGGGACAATACAGTACCTTACAACAACTCAAAATTTCATGAACAAATTGCCTTTTAATAGCCCCACTTTTCTTATCATGCTTTATATCAGATACAGTGTCTAGGCATATAATATCATTAAATGGGCAGTGTTTTGTGTTTTTCCTTCTCTGTACTTTAGCAACAATCATTCCAGACTCAAACCTTAAAAACAAGACAATGCCCAATTTTCCTGCCTTATTTAGTTTGGGAATGAAAAAAAATTTTACTCTTGCTTCCACATTACTAATGGTACATGAATTCAGCATGTTGCTGCTTCCAAACAGGCTCTGGAGAGGGAAACAAATGATACCTTGCACAGGCCAGAATTTATGTAAAAAAAATTGTCTTCTATCTCAGGTCTGATTTTCATTTAATCCTGTTGGATAGCTATCTCTTTGGTTTTCATTAAAACCATGACTTATCATTAATTTTACTGGGTTTCTCTTCCAACATTATGGTTCCAATGTCAAAGCTTGATCCAACAGGATATAGCAGATGAGAATTGTGCACATCTTGGAAGGTGCCATAAAAAAAGGAGGATGTGCACAATCCTCTGATTTTGGCTCCTTGTGATGATCACACTCTCCAGCTCTCCTCCCGTAACAAAACCCCATATAGCTGTGCATTATGCTATAATCCCTAGAAATGGAAAACCCTTCACATGCAAGCCAGCTGGCTTGTTTTGGAGTGTGAGTCCTTTTTTTCAGACAGTACTTGTTTTTCCCCTCTGCACCTCTCAGAAAAGCTCTTCCAAACCCTCCTACTTCATTTGAACTAAGTAGGATCCCATGCTTTTCCTCCCACATATCCCTATTTAAAACTTCAACAGTTGACATGACCAAAATGCCTTGAGTGTGTTCCCAGTTGGGGCATTAGCACTTCAGCTTAGCCCAGGTGGTCAAAGACCAGTGATGCTCTAGGGAAGAGCTCATGATGACTCCCAGTGCAGGTGGGTTTTAGTTTCCACTCTAGTTGGGCGTCCCCTGGAGCCCTGCTGGACTTTTCTCTTTATTCATGGGAGGTAGAGCCTTTTAAAGTGTAACAGCCTTCAACTATGGAGCAACCTCCCAGAGGGCATTGTACTGAGCCAAATTTCTGGTGGTGAGAAACTCCTGCAAAGACTTCCTGCAATGACCAAAGCTTAGACGCATACATTTTCCTACAAAATCAGCAAGTGGTGTTGAGTAGGGCCAAATGCAGGCAATAGTAATGGTTGTATTTATGTCCATACCCAAAATAATGATAGGAAAACTAGGAATTAGATTGTACAGCTGTGCTTAACATCTTTCATAATACAGAATAATCAATGGACTATGAGACCCCGGAAGTTTGAGCTTTTATGGAAGCCAGATGCTTCGGACAATGCATCTGGCTGGACACAGCTTTTCCCAGCTGTTCTTTTTGTTGATAAATCACATCTGTACTTAGCTGATGTATGGACATAGATACACACACTTATTTAATCAAAGATTGCTTATGTGAATGATTCCCAAAGTGTGGCTTGAGAGCCACCTGTGATCTATGAAGCTCTCACTGGTGGTCCATGGATCTGCTGCTTTTTCATTGGGCAAGCATCTATCACACCTCATACCTCGATGGGTTCTGCCAACTGCTGCCTAATCACAGGGTTTCCCAAAGTTTTCCTAGTCAAAGGGGAAAAGGCAAATCCAAATTCAGAATCTGTTGCAAGTACTTCACAGCTTGCTTTCTACGGAAATCTTTTTTTTGGAAGGGACTGGGAGAAGGGCGGGTTCAACCTTATTCAGATATGGAAGTGTTACTCAATACAGGAGCACCAGAAGGCAAACAGGAGAATGTAAATACATTGCATTGTTTGAAAATACCAGAGCTGTGAGGACATCAGCTAAGCGCATTGCACAAAGACTTAAATTTTGAGCAAACATTAACAGCTAAGATAAAAAACATAAACCTTTTCTGCATTCCTTTTTATAGACTTCCCTGGTGCTGTCAAGCATTACAGCTGTCATATGGAGTGATCAACATTAGGAGTTAAAACAGCTTACTAGAAATTTGTTAACTTCATTTAAGTTTTGCCCAATATGTACCACTTTAGGAACCCACAACGAAACTCAAAACACTTTGGCTGAGGCCAGTCGACTGCTGTCTTGATTGCTATCCCATAAAACCTCACCACGATCCATCATAAAAGACTTGAACCCTTCCCAAGAACCTTCTTCTAATTCCTAGCCTAAATTTATTTCATAGTCCGGCCTATATTCATTTTATATCCATTTGTTTGAAAACAGCTCTTGTTCTTTCTTCTTTTTGTCCACACTTCTCTTCCCCCTCACCTTTGCAAAGAGCAATGATACTCCTTCTGAGCCTGTGCTACCGTTTTATTTGAAAAGTCAAGTTCTTTTAGTCTCTTTTCAAATGATAAGCTCTTGATTACTCTACTCCTTTTTCAGTCTGAGTGCATCCTTCTGATGTTGGGGGAAGAATTATAGCAGGAAAAGCAATTTTAGAGGAATTTCTAGGCTAGAATTTTATAAAGTTTTAGTCACAGTGTGCTTTAAAGACTCAAGGAGAGAAATCACTTACCACATGTTGGAACATCTTCTTCAGCTGATGAGGTCTGTTCATCTGTTGATGGCTTTTTCTTTCCTAAACCAATGATCTTCGTTATTTTTTTCCCTGTTACTTTAGTCACAGTGCCCTTGGCTTCTGATTTTGAACTTTTTTTCCTCTTCACTATTAAGAAAGCAGAAGTGTGTATTTTAGTGTGTTTAAATTAATCAATGAATAGAGAGAACCTGAATAAAAATAGTAGTTCAGACAAACAATCCTGTGCAAGGTGAACATTTGTAAAAAAGTTGCAGACTGCAATGAGATAAACATTATATGCCCTCTCAAAAATGGATGCCTATAAATAACCTCTGTGCTATAAAAATCATGGCATTCAGAAGGATAAGAAAAACAAAAATCAAGTTAATTTAATTTAATCTAATCACAGAGTCATAGAATTATTTAGGTTGGAAAAGACCTTTAAGATCATCAAGTCCAACCGTTAACCTAGCGCTGCCAAGTCCACCACTAAACCAGGTCCGTAAGCACCTTGTCTACCTGTCTTTTAAACACCTCCAGGGATGGTGACTCAACCACTTCCCTGGGCAGCCTGTTCCAATGCTTGATAATACTTTAAGTGAAGAAATTTTTCCTTATATCCATCCTAAATCTCCCCTGGCACAATTTGAGGCTGTTTCCTCTTGTCCTGTCACTCGTTACTTGGGAAGAGAAACTGACAACCACCTCTCTACAACTTCCTTTCAGTTAGTTGTAGAGAGCGATAAGGTCTCCCCTCAGCCTCCATTTCTCCAGGCTAAGCAATCCCAGTTCCCTCAGCTGCTTCTCATAAGACTTGTGCTCCAGATCCCTCACCAGCTTCGTTGCCCTTCTCTGGACATGCTCCAGCACCTCAATGGCTTTCTTGTAGCGAGGGCCCAAAAGGGAACACAGTATTCACGGTGCAGCCTCACCAGTGCTGAGTACAGGGAGACAATCACTTCCCTAGTCCTGCTGGCCACACTATTCCTGGTACAGGCCCAGATGCTGTTGGCCGCCTTGGCCACCTGGGCACACTGCTGGCTCATATGCAGCTAGCTGTCAACCAACACACCTAGGTCTTTTTCTGCCGGGCAGCTTTCCAGCCACTCTTCCCCAAGCCTGAATTATTTCATGGGGTTGCTGTGACCCATGTGCAGGACCCAGCACTTGGCCTTGTTGAACCTCATACCATTGGCCTCGGTCCATCAATCTAGCCTGTCCAGATCCCTCTGTAGACCCATCTTACCCTCAAGGAGATCAACACTCCCGCCCAACTTGGTGGTGTCTGCAAACTTACTGAGGGTGCACTCAGTCTCCTCGTCAAGATCACTGATAAAGATATTAAAGAGAACAGGCCCCAGTACTGAGCCCTGGGGAACACCACTTGTGACCAGCCACCAACTGGACTTAACTCCGTTCACCACAAGTCTTTGGGCCCAGCCATCCAGCCAGTTTTTTAACCCAGCAAACAGTACACCCACCTAAGCCATGAGCAGCTGGTTTCTCCAGGAGAATGTGGGAAACAGTGTCAAAGCCTTTACTAAAGTCCAGGTAAACATCATCCACAGCCTTTCGCTCAGCCACTAAGCTGGTTACCTTGTCATAGAACGAGATCAGGTTAGTCAAGCAAGACCTGCTTTTCATAAACCCATGCTGACTGGGCTTGATCACCTGCTTGTCCTGTACATGCCATGTGATGACACCCAGGATGATCTGCTCCATAATCTTCCCTGGCACTGAGGTCAGACTGACAGGCCTGTAGTTCCTCAGATGTAGTTCCTCCTTCTGGCCCTTCTTGTAGACGGACGTCACATTTGCTAACGTCCAGTCAACTGGGAGCCCCCAGTTGGCCAGGACTGCTGACAGATGATGGAAAGTGGCCTGGTAAGCACTCCTGCCAGCTCCCGCAGTACTCTTGGGTGAATTCCATCCAGCCCCATAGAATTGCATGTGTCTAAGTGGTGTAGCAGGTCGCTAACCATTTCCCCTTGGATTATGGGGGCTTCCTTCTGCTCCCCATCCCTGTCTCACGGCTCAGGGGGCCGGGTGCCCAAAGAACAACTGGTCTTACTATTAAAGACTGAGGCAAAGAAGGCATTAAGTACCTCAGCCTTTTCCTCATTCTTGGTCACTATGTTTCCCCCCACCTCCAATAGAGGATGGAGATTCTCCTTTTGTTTTTCACGTATTTATAGAAACATTTTTTTATTGTCTTTTATGGCAGTAGCCAGATTAAGTTCTAGATGGGCTTTGGCCCTTCTAATTTTCTCCCTGCATAACCTCACTACCTCCTTGTAGTCCTCCTGAGCCACCTGCCCCTTCTTCCTATGGTTGTAAGATCTCTTTTTTCCCCTGAGATCCAGCCAAAGCTCCTTGTTCAGCCAGGCTGGTCTTCTTCCTCGATGGCTCGTCTTTCAGCACATAGGGATGGCCTGCTCCTGTGACTTTAAGATTTCTTTCTTAAAGAATGTCCAGCTTTTGTGGACCCCTTTGCCCTTCAGGACCACCTCCCAAGTAAGTCTGTCAACCAGTCTCTTATACAGGACAAAGTCTGCCCTCCAGAAGCCCAAGGTAGCAGTTCCACTGACCCCCCTCCTTACTTCTCCAAGAATCAAAAACTCTTATCATTTTGTCATCGCTACACCCAAGATGGCCTCCAACCGTCACATCACCCACAAGTCCTTCTCTGTTCACAAACAACAGGTCCAGCGGAACACCTTGCCTAGTTGGCTCACTCACCAGTTGTGTCAGGAAGCTATCTTCCACACACTCCAAGAACCTCCTACACTGTTTCCTCTCTGCTATATTGCATTTCCAGCAGACACACGGTAAGTTGAAGTCGCCATGAGAACAAGGGCTAGCAACTCTGAGACTTCTTCCAGCTGCTTATAGAACATTTCATTTCCCTCTTGATTCTGGTTGGGCAGTCTTTAACAGGCTCCCACCATGATAACCACCTTGTTGGCCTTTCTCCTGATTCTTACCCATAAACACTCAACCCTCTCATCACCACCATAAAGCTCTAGACAAAACACTCCCTAACATACAGACTACCCCATCACTTCTACTTCCTTGCCTATCCATTCTGAAGAGTTTATAGCTATCCATTGCAGCACTGCAGTTGTGCAAGTCATCCCACCATGTTTCCATGATGGTGACTATATCGTAATTTTTCTGCTGCACAATGGTTTCCAGCTCGTCTTGTTTGTTGCCCATGCTGCGTGCATTGGTGTAGAGGCACCTCAGCTGGGCTGTTGGCCGTGTCACCCTCTTAGAGGAGCACCCCTTAAATCCTTTGAAGTATTTCCCTGGTGTTTCCTTGTTGGTTCCTACTACCTCAGGAGACACTGGCTCATTTCCGTAAGACTTCAAGTGTAGCCAGCTATAATCAAGCTGAAAGTCTCTTTCCACACCAGTCATCATCTAATTTATCAGTATGACTGAGCTATCTGCATATGAATTTAGCTCATACACAAGAATCAAAATCCAGCCAGATGATCCTTCATTGTTCCTAAACATTTACCTCAAAATACTTCAACAACTAAGTATACAACACAGACAGCCTATGCTTGCCTAGCAAAAATGCTCCTGCCACATACAATTATGTTAAGGTATCTTACCACAATGGGCCTTTTAGAAAGACAAAACTTATAAATTAAATACTAACAATTCAATTAGTGGGATCAGTATAAGCATTCACCGCTTAGAAATTGGCACTTTTTGTGATCACGCAGGCTTGAAAGAAAAAGCTCTGCTGAAAAGTGGTATTTTGCTAACATCCAGTCTGTGCTTCCTTTAACTTAATATGATACTAGTAATGTTACAGCTCTGTGCACTGAGACATGTTGAACTGCTGAAAAGTAACATGGCGAGGACCATGGTTATAATTTTTAAAAGAGCCTACCTGACTAAAATCCTAACAAACTTGTTGAAAAATTGAAAAAAAAAAAAAAGTTTCTAAGGGTAAATAGAATCAGAAAAGAAGACTCTTTAGTTGCAAAACAGAACAAACGAACTTTCAGAAATGGCATTCAGCCTAGTTTGGATTCCATCAACAGAGAAGTCTCTCTGCAGAGAGACAGAGCAGCAACATTATCCATCAACTTGCCCTGATAAATGATTTTGGTGAAAAATACATTTAGGATAGTTACTGATGGAGCTGCTGTAACTTCATCCCTGACATATCAATTCCCTTTGCAACGGGGAACATTTAGTAGTTATGGACTTGTGTAAACGGAGAAAAAAAAAAGAACTAAATGTTCACAGGAAAAATGACTATATGAATTGATGAACTGGGAAGAAAAATGCACAGAAATAGAGAAGCAGTCTGGGACTCACAATGGGATAGTTTATCACATTTAGCTTAATTGTTAGCAATCATGGAACATTATTTAGAAATTGCATCTGTAGCCAAGACTGTACAAATCTGTCACCTGCTGCACGTGGTGCTGAGGGGAAAAGGCAGCTCTTCAGGCACGGATTGCTGTTCACCAGCAAACTCCAATACAGCGATGCACGTGTGCAAGCAAAGGTCTAATTCTCTTTTCCTAAGGGAGGGGTGTTCACAACTTATATTGTGCTCTCTAAACATGGAACAAGCTCCCACATTCAAGGGAGGAAGGCCACCTGTCCCATCTGCTTATGTCACCCCCTGCCTGAGGGAAGACCCAAAGGCAGCACTGTGGCTGTTTAGTGGGAAGCAGATGAAAAGCATTGAAAATAGCCAGAGACTGAGAAAAACTCATCTCTCTGAGACAGAAGCCCAAAGGAACCATTCTCAGCAGCACGAACAGACAGTGGATAAGACCATTCCAGTGGGGGTTTTTTTGTTTTCCTGTTCTATCTTCCCTTCACACTGCTGTTTTATTCTGCAGAACTGAGGGGCAGCAGAAATAAGGCCTTCATGACTCAATCGTTTTGAATCTAAAGAACATGCTTGTTGCCTGACTGCCAGTCACAAAAGTCTTTTCTTCTCATTTCCTTCCCCACAGCAAAACCAGCAGCTGGTTAAGAGCAGGGCTGGCCGATGGGTGACGGCTGAAGATGACTGCTTTCCGGAGTCTCCCTTCCCACATACTGCCTTAAGCATTTCCTATCCATTGTTTAAAAAAATAGTGTAACTAACTTCATCCAGAACCACTTAAAATGATGCCAGGGATATTTTAATCTCCTTGTGGTCATTAATGCCTATTATTTTTATTACTACATATTGAAGGTAATTTTCAAAAGCAACTGGTATTTTTAATTACCCTCCTTGAGACATCTTAGCTGGGCGGGTTTTCCAGCAGAACATGCTCCATCAGCATGTCTCCCGTAGGGCACCTGAACCACTAGGCACTTTTGGACATCACGGACAACAGAGCTTTTGGGTCAAAGATGTTTCTCAGCAGGTTTCACAGGCTAAAACAGTAGAGTGTTTTTTGAAAGCTTAGTAAAAGGTTTCATAGAGTGAAATCTAACTATGTACCACAACTTCTAGAAACCACAAAACCTGACATTGTGCCATACCGTTGGGTATGTCAGAGATCCATATAGTCAGGAAATGTTGGAAAACGACCCCGGGAGAAGATAAAGGAAATGAGTCAAAAGGCGAGACAGCGCTGGCACCAAGACCAGTATTGACATTGTGCTCACTGCAGCTCACATTACCCTTCAGCTTGACAGCTGCAGAAAAATGTCTTATCTAAACGATACCATTGCTATATGGCAAGTCAACAAAGTCACAGAATTTCTTCTGCTTTGTGAAGCAGAGAGGAGGGTGGGGAAGAGAGCAGAGGGGCTGAGTTTTTTAGATATAACTCAGACAAAATTCCCTCTGGGTTTGGGATGTGCCTTTGTTAGATTATAAGGACTATAAAACGTACATGGCTCCAAAGTCGCATATGTAAGGTTATATACATATATACTCACAAATCCACTGATATTACATAGAATCATAGAATTGCTGAGGTTGAAAGGGACCTTTAAGATCATCAAGTCCAACCATCAACCTACCCTGACAAAACCACCTCTAAACCATGTCCCCAAGTACCACATCTATCCTTTTTTTAAACGCCTCCAGGAATGGCGAATCCACCCCCTCCCTGGGCAGCCTATTGCAATGTCTAATAACCCTTTCAGTGAAAAAATGTTTCGTAATATCCAATCTAAACCTCCCCGGACATAACTTGAACCCATTTCCTCTCGTCCTATCACTTGTCACCAGGGAGAAGAGGTCAGCCCCCACCTCTCTACAACCTCTTTTCAGGTGGTTGTAGGGAGTGATAAGGTCTCCCCTCAGCCTCCTCTTCTCCAGGCTAAACAACCCCAGTTCCCTCAGTGGTGCCTCACAGGGCTTGTCCTCCAGACCCCTCACCAGCTTTGTAGCCCTTCTCTGGACACGCTCCCACACCTCAATGTCCTTTTTGTACTGAGGGGCCCAAAACTGAACACAGTACTCATGGTGGGGCCTCACCAGTGCCGAGTACAGGGGGATGATCACTTCCCTAGTCCTGCTCACCACACTAATTATATATGTGATGTGTATATATATATACACACTATGATTATATAAATTTTAGTATGTAAATAATGATACATAATAGTTTATATATATTTGTATCTGTGTATACACACATATATATAAACTATGTATAGATGTGTATACGTACATATATATAAAATACATGATTCTTTCCTTCTATTCAATGATAGCTTTTTTGCTTAGAAGCTATACACCCACAATTTATGTTGCCACTATACACCTACAGTTAAAAAAAGCAACTGTTAGTTGCCTATAGTGGTCGCTCAAGCTCTGAAAAACTGTACTCCTGAACACACAAAAGGCTAAGTCAAAATTTCTATATTCTGTTTCTTTTTACTAATTATATTGATTTTACTTGCACAATGACAACATCAAATGCCTTCTAATACTGCAAAATTTTAAGGACTCACTCTTGACATAATTCACCTTTCAAGTTAAATTTAAACCTAATAAAAATATTAAAAAAACCTTTACTGCCTATTTTTAAAAGATAAAAGCCAGGTACTTCACTACGTATCGCTCCCTATATGCACATATTTACACCAAGCATCTCTGCATCCCAGACATACCTTGTTCTTTTCCATTGCATGCTGTAGTGATGCCATTTTCCACAGCACCCTCCCCATCTGAGCTTGGCCTCTCAGATGACAGCTTCTGCAGGGACAAAGAGATTAGCTGACATACAATGTTGGCACCACTGCCAAAAGAAGTGTCATGAGTCAATTTAAAAGTATGCTTACTGTGAAATATAACACATTTCAAGCTCTCATCCACTTGGAAGACAAATAGAAGACAGTAAAAAATTCAGTTTTAGAAGGTTTTTTTACATTGCCATATAGGCTTTAGCGGAGCACAGAAACCAAAAAATAGGTCTATATTTGAAAGTACAGTCCAAACAGTGAAATAATCGTAATTCAATACCTCTTATTACACAATATATTTTTAATTAATTTCTAGACTCTAAATATTGCTGTTTATTAATCTGATAGGCAATGAACAACTACATGGATCAGATATGAATAACTTCAAAATTCTCTCTTTAAAAAGCTTCACATACATTTACAATTACAACTAATCAGAAAATAGTGCACTCCTAAATGGTGCTTCAGTATATTCAATATCTGCAAAAAAGAGGCTTTTGAAATAAATTTTTAGCACTGATTATTCCGCAATGGTTGCTTATGAGATATAGGATGATGTGGGAAAGAGCTTATGCTGGTACAGTTTTGTTAACCACATTACTCATAAGTAGTGAAGCCATGAAGAAGATGTACAGATTATCCCAAAAAGAAGCAAACGAGAAGTTTTTCTACCCTTCTTCATGGCATGCATTTTAGAAAATAACTCTTTTATGACACTTCCAGTTACTTTTTTAGTACTCTGCAGGTGCGTGCAAGCATGCAAACACAACAGCTTTTGCCCTGTGAAATCAGGAGGTCTGAGCTGTCATGGAAGATTCTTTGCTCTTACTATCCCAGGTGCAATGCAATGTAACACCACTGACTGTAGCATCCTTCCACCAAGGGGGGTAGAATTTGCCATCAGGAATTTGGTGACAAAACCTTTGTCAGCAGGACTTTTAAGCAGGGTCTACAGATGGGTCTGCTCACATGGGTGCCTTGACTGAGCAGGGGTGTCAATCGGTGCGGGTAACGCACTGATCGTTCACTGCGGGGCTGTTCTCCTTCCTAATTCTTCTTCTCATATCCTGCTGAGTCAAGGCAGTAGAGACAACAACAGCCAAGTTTCTGTCTTGAGGCATGAATGCTTGAAAGGGTCTGCCAAAACAGTGACCTCAGCATGCCCAGGGAGCTCTTCATGAACTAATTTCTCAAAAACAAAAGACTTTCTCTTAAAATTTTTGTATAATCTTCGGCTATTCTTCCCTGAGGGTCACATCCCTGCTTGCTCTTTGCACTCAATGGAGAGTGTCTCTGCATCACAGCATACATATCAGACCTGCTTAGTCTGCACCCTAAACGGCTAAAGAGAAGCTGCTAATGGGTACAAGCCAGTCTGCTGGTTGTTTGTGACCAAATGAATAGATGTGGCAGAAGTCTTAATTCTGTAGGATGTGTGCACATATCCAAACAGACAAAAACGACACAGGGGCTAATAGTCTAAACCAGTAGCACCAGTCAGCCCAAGTTATTGAAGAGTGCCTCAGAAAATGGTCTAACATGAAAAAGTTAATACATGAAATCCAGAACCTAAATTAAATTTCAGCTTTGTAGCCTGAACATCCCCTAAACCATGCAGTGCCTAGCAATGTGTCTAAAATGAGTAATCACAAGGAATTTTGCATCAACCATTTTGATAACTTTACCTTTTCCAGCTCTGTCTTGTGCACTGGAGAACTAGACAATGGCCCATCCGAGTCTACCGCTCCCGTACAGTTGCTGCACACATCTTTTATAACCTTAGGAGACAAGGCAAAACTTATCAATTATTCATAAAATACAAATCAGAGAAATTACCTATGAACATGAAGGGAAATGGGAAGGAGAATCCCACAGATGTTTACTAAGCTGGCAGGTGTCAGGCAGGCTGCCATGACACCAACTTCACCACGCTGCCTCCCCAAGTCATTTTGTGCATGACCTGGAGGAGACATGATGTCTAGAGGTGGAAGGTTTCGGTTTCTAGACAAGCTAAGCTCCAAGGCTCTCCTGAGTAAAGAAACCAACAGCATTGCTGATTTCCATGTGCTAGTTTTGCAATATGAACTCAGCTGACACCACCAAATTAATTTCATTATGATGACGAAAAATTGGGATTAGATCCAAGGTCCCGCATGTCAAAGGACAAGAGTTTTGCATAATACACCACGCAGCTGCTTTTTTTCTTTGCTATTGGAGAACTAATGAAGTGCTGATCGACTTACAGTTAATCCTGCACAGTGGTATTTTGTGGTATTTTTGTATTATACTTGCACATTGACATAAAGGTATAGGTCAAAGTAATTGTAAATGTGTTCTCGGAAATGGGAATGACATTAAGTATGCTTTTAAAAAGTTAAAGAAAAATCCAGAACCAAATTCACGGAGATTTTGACAGAATCTGAAGAGCTTCAAAACCTTAAACTAAAAAAATATACCACGAGTAAAGACATTTGATGATTCCCTATAGGCATAATTAAGTTTTTTATCTCCTGTGAGGTTATCATCAACCCATTATGAGTCTGAAATTGCTCGTGCTGATGAGAACGGGTCCTGACTCTCCATCGAGATTCATGCCGAGGGGGTGCTGAGCTCCACACCGCTGATTACAGCCACGCAGCCACGCAAGGACAGCAGAGCCGAGCACGCTAAGAAAGGAAGGCACCCTACTCTGCTGGAAGCATTGCCGCTAGACATGCAAACCTCCCCCTTTGCATGTACGTGCACGTGTTTACATATCCAGCTCCTCCCTTCACACTGTTTGCAGCAAGCCTGGCTGGCGGAGAGAAGGATCTGTCCTGAGAACTCCCAGTTCCAGGGAAAACAGCAATTAGCTAACTGTCAAAATCCAAATTTCTTAAAAAGAGAGGAAAAGCAAACCAGCAAACATCTTTTTAGTTTTGAACTGAGCCATTTTGATGTGGAAAACACTGAAGAGCTAAAGATGGCACCAAACAGTCCTTTCACAGCATTGAAGTTCCCTTTAAGGGTGAAGCTAAACAAATCAAACGTTTATGGGCTTAAAAAGACCCTATTGCTACAACTCATAAGCACATCATAAATTACAGGCAGGATATGCCATAAAGAAAGAAAGAGCACCAGCCCCATTTTACAGATGGAGAACTCAGGAACAAAAGAAAAATTAAACCACTCATTCAGTGTCACATAAAAAAATCTAAGCAAAGCAGGGAAATGAACCTGCACTTATTTCTGAGCTACTATCTTAAAACACTTCGGCATCCTTTCTTGACTGCCTGAACTTCTCTATATCTTGTCCTAGAAACGTAAGCACAGTATTTCATGGCACTTGGTGTCCTTTAACAGAAAATTTAGATATATCTGTTGCAGAGCATTTGCACCTCGGAGTTAAACGTAGCCCTAAATGCCCCAAAATCTTAAGATTTTTTTTTTTTTTTATGTGTGTTGTTTTATTTTCAATTCCTGTTCCTCAGTATGGTGTAAATACACTGCTGTTTTCTTCTTAGAGAAATGTGACCGTGCAGTTTCTGGGAACATTCATTTCTGTCTCCTGTATGACCCTAATTCAATGGCTCATGTTTTCAGCATCTGCTCACACCACACAGTTAGTTAATTTTGGCAAAGGCAGATAGTAATGGGAGTTACAGACAGAACAGAGGGAAATGATTTGGCAGCACTAACTGAATAGTATGTGCAAAGTCATGCACTCAAGTAAATCCGGTTCTTATCATACCTCACATACTTAAGGAGAAGCTAAAGTGTTTAATTGGGTTGTAATTAAATTTTGATTCAAAAAATTACACACTATCAAATGGAAGTTCACAGCAACATCTGAAGTAAATGCATATTCAAGGATCGAACACTTCATTTGGGTTCAAAGGGTTCACTGGCAAAGACTTGCTCATCACCTTCTATGTGCAATATAATTGTGTTCAACGCACGGCATAAAACTGATGCTTCTACAGCTCACCAGGATGAAATGCTTTTAATATATAATGGTTGCCTGGATGCTCTCTCTATAATTACGTTTGCAGACAGCTGCCATTATAAATGTGGTTTTCACATGCTTATAGCTTTAACTTAAAATTTTAAGGATAAAACATTCCACCAGTGTTGCCAACTTGCATAATTTCAATCACAAGACTCGGCATTTTTGTCAGTTTTTTCTATGCAGTCTCCTGGAGTCATATGAAAACAAAAGATCATTATTTTCATTAAAAATCATTGTGAGTGAGAGTGAGGAAAGGAGGTCAGCAAACTTTTATCCATTGCAATGAAATGTGCAAAAATATGAATAAATGTAACTCAGTGGCTCCAAAACTAGAAAGCAAATAAAGCAAATCCCCAAATGTGTTATTTTTAATAAAATGGCATAATCTGGAAGGCTGTACTGAGAATACTTTATAATGGCACATACTCCATTAATAGTTTAAGTTTTCCCACACATTAGAAAAAGGAAATCATTCTCTTTTTCTCACCACATATGCCTTTGTACATTACATATACACACACTCAGGGTGATCTGCCAGGAAAATCAAACTGACATCATGAACAGACTATGTATTCAAATATTTAAAAGATATAAGAAATGCAATCAGAAAACTGAAGACCTTTCATTTCTTTGGATAGCCTCAAAACTAAATACATTTAAAATAATCTTCTGTTATTCCATTGCAAGAATTTTAAATACCACAATTATCATTACAATGTTACAATTAGTAGACTTCAGAACTGGCTCTTTCAAATGTAGACCTGGAAAAACCTTGTGCAGCCTGAACTTTATTATTATTCCTTATTTATGTTATTGAAAGGTCTTGAATCCCCAGCTGGATCAGGATATACACCAGTGTATCGCGCTGACTGCAGTGACATGAGGAACAGAAGGGAAATAGTTGCAGGTACAAAGCTGGAAAGATTCCCTGCCCCAAGCCATTGACAGTGACGGGTGAAGTCAGTGGAATTTCTGCCACGTGGTGTGTCTGGAATACTTCTCTCTTTGAAACTATCTTACTACACAAGCACTAACATTTACTATAAAACCTTCATATTTTAAATGACACACCATGACTGGAGGCAAAATACTTACCCTACATGCAAAGTCAGAAGAATCAAATTAGATTTTTCCAGCTACCTTCAAAGATCCAGGCGTCAGATAAAAAGCACAGGCTATGCAGGAAAAGCAGAAAGCCAGCTGCTTGCCAGCCAGACCCTGCCACACAGAAACCCAACAAACTCTGAGTAAAAGTACTAAATTTGTAGCTGGTTCCTTGTAGGTGACCCCTTTGGGACCTGACAAGGAATAAGACTGAGTCTTCCTGCATTTGAGGAGTTTGCAGACCTCTCTCCTGGTGGATACCGTGGGATCAGTTCAAGCCACAGGCTGTGCTCACCACAGGGATGTGATTACAGCATCTCTTCTCGTCTCGTGTTTTTGTGGAACTCACTGGAGAAGCTCAGACTTTTAACATGATCAACTTCAAAAGTGATTAGGGAGAAAGCTGACGGCCTGACTGCACATTTGCTTCACTTCTGTATGTAACCAGGCTAGAAATCCATCCAGCCAACCCACCCCCCGTCCCAATCTACCCACGTGTTTCGCAAGTACGAGCATTGCTAGAAATGGCCGAATCCTCTGCCTCTTGTCTCTGCTGCTTCACCCTGAACATAGGAAAATGGTAAAGCTGAAATCTGCTTATGCACAACACAGCAGAGGGAAAAGGGTTTGTATCCAGATGTAACTTGGTATTTCTCGTTCCTGAAACACTCCTTTTTCGGTGCTGGAGGAGTACAGACTTCCCAGGACTTTTTGTCATTTTGGCATGACTAAATTCTCATTTTCTTTCTTTTGGACCCTTACAAACTACACACACTAGCATCCGTCTCCTCCTCTTTAAGAGAGGACCAAAATTCTCCTAGCATTTTGCAGACAAATGCCCCACGGAGTTTACCTAGATAAATCAGAGGAAAAGCAGAAATTACTCACATCATAGCCTATGCTTTAAGTCCCCAAAAGAACCCCCCCTTTACCTTCTGTACTGGAAAACTTCATTCTCAAGCATCCCCTAGCCTGAAAAGATTCACCTTTCTGCCTAATTGCTGTTTGTCTGTACAAAGCGGGGATGAAATTCTATCAGAGCAGAGGCCAGCAAGCCTATCTTTAGTGCCTGCGTATCCCCTTAAAAATACTTCTCTGACATATTCAACCAAGACAATTCCTGTATCCTTTCTCCTGCGTTATTACCATGAAGTCTATTGCCATATATGGCCACTGGCTCAGGCAGAGCCCAGGGGAGGAGGCGCTGGGTGGCCGGGGAGGGCGGCTGGAGGCATTGCTGCTGCAAGAGTAGATGTACAAGGGGAGACGCATCCTCAGCCCAGGTGATGCAGAGATGCAGGCCGCACTTCAGGCTGTAAATCTGAGCTAGGTATGATTTAAATAATTTTCCATCCAAAGCTGCGAGTAGGATAGAGGAGGAATACTATCTTGTGGTGAAAACAGGGGATCAAGCCTCAGCCCTCCTGGGTTCTGCTCTGAGATCTGCTACAGCTTGCATTTGTGATTTTAGCCAGGAACTTAAAGAAAACTTACCTCTGAGAAAAAAAAAAAAAACAAATAGGATGTTTGTGGTTCTGTACTCACCAATGGATTTTTTTAAATTTACATATGCATCTGCTTTTTTTATGTAATGTATTGTTTTCCATGGTGCGGATCCCACAAACACACCCTGGTTCACAGCCAGGATGGGGTACTCCAGCTCTGTCAAAGCACTCTGGCAGCAGTCCTGCAGGCCGGTCAAAGCCCTCACATGCAGCTCGGTCTGCCGCGTCTCCAGATCATGCCCCAAATACTTCTTATGCAAACATACTGACCTTGCTGTGATTTCTACAAAGGTATCTAAAACCACCTCTTTGAGACAAGTAAGTCCTAGGAGGTTTAATTGAGTTTGCAAAGCCTTCACTGCTGGTGATGGTGTGCAGTGGAGAGAGAACCCAGCCCGACTGCCTAAGGGACACAGTATGTTCCTGAAGTTACTTATAAACTAACAAACACTATATGGAAATCACTTGTACTGAGTATACATCCCCAAACCCACTTTTTCCAGTCAGTTTTAAGGCACGATCATTCAGCACTTGCCTCGACTCAGCTACAAAATGGAGATAATAACCTCTTTGGGGAACATTACTGAAGCCAAGAAAGTAATGTTTGAAGTGTTTTGAGATCTCTAGCTGGAAATTCCCATAGAAAGTAAAACCAGCCACATAATGTTTACAGTTACAAGCTCACTTTTGTGGTGATTTAAATTGGTAAAAGAAGAGCTCTGTCAGTAGTTTATTCCTCAGTAAAACTCACTCCACATTAAGACTGGAGCCCAGAAGTTACTTGACTCCCCTCACTAAGCTCAGGGCAGTGAAAAAAAAAAGATGTTTTCGAAGACTTTTACGAGACAACATGTGGTTATCAGAGATGGGAAAGGGGTAAGACAACCAGATTAACAGCCCTACAAGGAGTGTTGCAGGGTCTTTCAATGGCTGGATACAGTCTTAATTTTCTTCTCTCTTCAGGGCAAAAAATCCCTCTTATCACGACAAGTTCAGAACTGACTGAGCATTGTCAAAATGATAGATGCAGAAATGTCTACTTATGCCTGAAAGATTCACTGCTCAATTACAGAGCCTCAACTGAAGAGATTGCTGCAAAACGACTGAACACCGTAAAATGAAGAAAAGTTAACAAAGGGTACCTAACGCTAGGGAAAAATGAAAATCAAGGGCAGTACTCCAATATGATGGATTGCCTCTCATGCATGATAAATCAGAAATACATTTTGCAATAGGCAATGCTAAGAGAAAGAGAGAGCCTTGGGACCAAACACAATGACCATTTCCTTCTTCTACCGGTCTTCTACAAGAAGCTACTTCAGAACTTAATTTCTTTGGCATCCATGTATTTTTAATACTAAGAGCAGTTTTCTGTGGGCGAGGCTGAAGGTCCTGCACACAGAACACATTCATCTATATGAATGAAGCCACTAAACAAGCATCTTCTTGTAATGTCATGTTCTTAGTAGTCCTTTTATTTTTAATGTAGCGTTTTCCAGGGACACCGACAAATAAATGCAGTTTCAACCAGTCCGTTGGACATGCTGAGACAAACAGGGAGATTTAAGACCTTGCTTGACCACAAATGCACAAAAACGCACACAGATGCACATATACTCAGGCGCGCATGGAAAAAGCTCATGTTTGGGTCTGAGTGTGTAACTGCACACATTTTTTCATGTACATTTTTGTGGGAACGTTTTAGGACTCAAGTCTGGAAAATTCCACCACTTTATGTTGCACACCATATTACTACTATGATCTCAGCTCTAGCCTGAATTTATACTAGTTACGCTCCTCGCTCTGAAAGCTTGACAGGCTCTTTGGTGACATCAGCTATCTTTTTTCATCAAGCATTTGTTAGCTGGTAAACCTGAAACTCCCTTTGTGGTTTCCAGTCTAGACTTTAATTTGCACTAGGTTTATCAGCTGGCTTTTTTGGTGTCATCTTTACAAAAAAGGGCTAAAATATTCTGCATTTATTTCGCACTTGTCTTCCAAAAGATATTTTAAAATTATTTGCTTAAGTAAATGTATTTTCTACCGGTTACATATGAGTTTAAAAAAAAAAAAAATCTGGTTCAGTTTTCATGGGAAAATCCGGCCTGCAAAGCCATTCTGAGCTTTTCAAGCTCAACAGTAAAGCTTTAATTTGACACTTACACTTACATATGAATTCATGAGAATGCGTTCCTGAGTGATAACCTGGCTCCACTGGCACGTATTGGTACAGTATCTTTGACAGAGAAGGCCTGTTATGATTTTAAAATGTGGCTGCAGAGACCTTTCTCATTGTCAATCTCTGAATCTACCCATTTTATTATCCACAGAAATCATACATGGGTGACAGAGCTGGGGACGACCCCGTCTCTGAGTGACAGGCAGGGAAAGCTCAAACCATTTCTCCCAAGACAAAGCAGTGATCTCCTTCTCAGCATAGGAACTTCTCAACAAGGCCACACGTGATTTTCAGAAGCTCATTTTAAGTAAGGCTTGAATGGGAAAAAAATAATTATTTTTATAATAATAAAAACCCCCTTAAATCTTGCTGCATTTTTAAAAATACAAAACCCAATGGTTTTTGGTTTTTTTTTTCTCAAAAAGCTATACTTCTTCTTGAAAGCCTTGGAGCTGTTGCAAGAGCTGCACAGACCATTTTTGGTTAGCTGTTGGATAGGCAATTTGTACTACACAGAACAGAGAGTGCTGCAGCCACGCTGAGGACTTGGAAGTTGAGCATACAGTAGCGTTGCCATGTACTTGAAAGAATTTTTATTAATAGAGAGCTTTGCAGCATGAGGGAACTAAATAAAGTGCTGTAAGTCTGCCTCCAAATGCTTTGCAGATAACACACTGTCCGGCCATTCACCCTCGGCACAAACAGCTTTGTTAACATGCAACTGTAAAAAAAATTATTATTTTTTTTTTTTTAAAGTAGCAGGAATCTGGGATATGGAAAAATCTAGCACAGCTCTGTCTGCCTGTGTGGAGAATGCTTTATGTACAATTTAAAAAAACAAAACAAAACAAAACATTTTTTATGAAAGAAAGTCTGATAAATGCAAATGAATCCAGCATTACTAAACCCAAGTTTAGAAGAACACAGGAAATAATGGTGCAGTTACTATGATCTAATTACAGCGGAATTCCCTTGGAAAAGAATACAACTTATGAATTTCTTTTCATTCCAATCAGTGTTTTTGAACCTTTAGGTGAATTAGTAGGAGACTTGGATGGTGCCAGATTTTAAAATGTAAAAACAAGATACTGATGTTAGAGGAAGCCTAACAAATACATGCCTGTGATTATTTTCTATTAAAAAGACAGCAAAGAGTGCATTTTCTAAGCTAAGAGTCAAACTTGCAGTCAAACCCAAACACACACGCACAGAAACCGCACCCCCCAAAAGGTATAATCAAATATTGCAAAATAGGAAATTACAGATTAATTTTCCATTTAGTAAATTAGCCCATAGCAGAACTCATACCTCTTAAGCTGTATTTTACGTCCCCCTCTTCTGCAGAAAAAATATCTGCCATCAGGAAATTCCTATGTGTTTAATTTGATTGTATTTGGAAAATAGAATTTATTCTTAGAAAAATAAGTACCATATAAGGTTAGATCAGAGCGCAGCATGGAGAATGCCTGATGAGTCTTATGCATTCAGACTTTTACATGAATTTAAAAGGCTGAATTTCAAGGTCTTTAAACACGCTACTGAAACTGCAGCGATAGTTTCCCACACTACTTCACTGACCTCCACATTTGAGACTGGCAAAGTCCAACATAAATACTAGTAATCTGGCCAGGATCTAAAACTGCAGCTCTTGCATTGGGATTTTCCACATTTGCAGACACCAAACAGAAAGGAGTGGAAGATGACAAAATCCCATTTCTCAGAAGTCTGCATTCCCAGAACAAACCATAACAGATGATACCCTGTTAAACCAGGATTAGCAAACTTGAATTGACTTCAGGAAGGTGAAGGGTTTTTCTCCATCCACAGCAATTTGAACAGGTATCTCCTCAGAGATCCCTCTTTTTAAAAAAAGATGGTTGTGAGGTTGGTATGTCCAATTTTTGCATGGTAGCCTATGGCAGTTATGCATCTATATCACTCCAAAAAGCAATCTGGGTGCCAGCCGTCTCCCACCTTAGGGAATTTGAACCTTCAGCTTGCTACCAGTGTGCCCTGACCACCAAAGCTTTCTGGAAAATGAGCTGGAGATGAAAATGGGAGAGAATTCACCACCTCGCCTCTCGGTGCCAGGCAATTGTGCAATTAGCAGTGAAAACCATACGCAGCAGCAGCAGCTGTGTAGTACGGAGCTGCTGGCTGCCCAAGGAGTTGCTTTAAGGCCTGAACATTAAGTCTGTATTTCTGAGGTCCCAAATTAGACGGGATTTAAGCGGTCTGGATTTGCCTCAATGTTACTGTCTATACCTCAGTTTTTAACAGCAACCGAGCAGGCACCCACACTTTGTGGGTGGAGAAGTTCCTGGTCAGAAATCCCCCCTTACCTTTAGCCACTGCTCTGCCTGCTCTTTGCTCTGTACTGCCAGGACAAGGGCATCTGCTCCTTGGTGCGAGATTTTCAGCTCGTGCTTCTTCTTTTTGCTGTCTTTGGGAATGTACGTGATACTGCAGTCATTCAGGAGCAGCTCCATCTGGGGCTGCTGGTCCTTGGAACTTTTGTAACACTAAATAAATGTACGGAAAGTTCAAAAGTTAGATGTCATCTTTCTGAACCTTGTGGGAAAGTTATTATTATATAGAAATGCTATTTTTTAATTTCAATATTTTCTGTGCACTCCTTTACCACATACCACAGAGTTCAGCCAACACCAACTTTGTATTTCTCCTCCTCATCCCCTCTGTAAAGCAAAATAACTTCCAGGCTGACATTAATAGTCATCTTTTATTGCAGGACAGGTACAACATATGGAGAGCATTAAGCTTCTCTGAGTTATCCTTATGACTCAACCTTGACCTTGATCAGGTAGGAAGAGGATGATTTAGGATATGTGCTCACATGTAGCAGCAGAATAAACTTGTACAGACTTTAAAGCCTTGATGCTTACCCTGCCCTGCAGCAACAGCCCAGCGTATCAAGGCAAACCCACACCAGTGCCTACACGCTGCAGCTACAAAGGCACTGGCACACGCCCTACTCAGCTGTTCTTTTTCTTGAGATAAGTACAAAAATTCTCACACTGTGGAAAGGTGGCAAAGTTGCAGGACGGTAACTTTTTTAGCTAATTCAGTTTAATCAGTCACTGCACAAAACCGCATAAATCTCCACTTTAGTTTACTCTGTCAGCTCCTGGATAAAACTATATGACTTACCTGATGTTTCTTCCCCTAATAGTTAGTGCTGTCAATGAACAGCCATTTCACTGTGGATCACTGATGACCTGCTCTAGGTTTAAATTGGTGATCTAAAGATCAAGGGCTTCACGTTACATAGCTTGTCCTATAGATCTAGTCCCTGCTCCTGTCTTCTAACTCATCGGTATAGTTGAGGTTCATCAAGCCATCATAGAGTGCCAGACTACAAAACAATGTTTAATTGTGTATTTGATTGTCCAGTTATTTTATACACTTATGTAAATTGGGCTTTTACTCATACAAAAAAGCAGAAAGGCTAAAAAGGTATCTGATAATAAAGACTAACTAGTATACACATACATAGAATAGTTGAGTATAAATGTGAACAGAGAAAATCACATGAACTTTTGCATGCCTGCAGCAGTATTCATATCATGATGCAACTGTCAGGAAGACAGTAGCTGTTAAAAGTATGTTATAAACACTACAACGTAGGCTGAGCAAATACAGCCACTCTAAACCAGCCACTGCAAATCACTCATAATCCTCCTTCCCTCTCCAAACCCCATTAACTCAAAGTTTCTCTAGCTTGGTCACAGATTTTAAGTTTGTAATATTAAAAAAAAAATAAGGTTTCAAGCTATGAAATCTTGAAAACATACAACATTAGTCACTTTAAGAAGCAATAAACAGCATATAATTCCCTTTATATTAATTTAAATATTTTATTTATAATTATACATTACTAAAACTGAAGAGAGTGTGTGTGTATATATATTAAAGGACTTTAAGTGAAAAATTATTCCCTACCAGAAGGTATTTCTAATGTCTAATTCTAATTAAAATATTTTGGTTTTATGATGACAGCTGCATTTATAGCACAAGCAATTAATAATCCCTAAGGACATATATTTGTTTTACTTGTATATCTCATAAGTTAAATGTCTAAGTCCTCCTTCAAACAATAAACCAATCTTGTGTAACTTGGTCGTTAGACTCCTATTGTGATTTTTATTTTCTTAATCCCTATTACAGAATTACTGAAAGACAATCCCTATAAGAGGAAAAAAAAAGTGCTTTTCAGACCACACATGTGGCTAAAGGAAATGAAAATAGAAAAAATAACATATTTCTATACAGAACAACAAACCTAATTGTAGAAGAAATATTGTGTGACTTCAGAGAAAATCTGTTTTTTCCCCTCTTTCTTTCTTTTCTTCAAGCTGTTATCAGATGGTCCTGAAATTTAATATGATCCTGGTATACGGTGACAAAAATGTGGACTAAGCATAATGGCATTATAAAAATATAATACAAACGAAATCGGAATCAACATTCTTTTCGACACTAAAATAGAGGAGGACAGAAAAATTAAATCCTCAGTAACCACTGAGAACTGGCAAACTAATTCCAACTGTATTTTTGGAAACCTCTTACCCAGATACCTCGATTTCAGCTCCTGTTATTTCCTATACTGCCACAAGCATAAATGTACTTGGAGAGCGAATACATCCGAGCTATTTTGTAAGAGTGTCAAATAATGAGGTTCTACAGAAAATGTTCTCTCACCTGTTAATCAGCTTTTAACATTTGGGATATTGCAGTAATTATTAGTTACATACTTAGTTACAACTGTTGGAAGCACCAGACAGGAAGACTGGGAGTGCCTAAGACCCCAACTTATTTATTACTGTAAGCATTAGTTCGCTTACAATGACACAGAAATTAGTGTTTCCCTCAATTAGGCTCTCTTTTCAGAAAACAGAGAGACATCTACGAGCAGATAATTTACTAACTTCTGGAATCTTTTACTGGTATCTCCAATCAGAAAGAACCATAACAGATATGCTTAAGGAACAAACATACCCACTTCTTTCTTTGCTTTCTATAATGCAGCTGTGCATCATGTGAATACTGCATCTGTAATTACCCCAGAACAGATGGCAAAGGTTTAGTTTAAAGTGTATACATTACCACGGCATATGCTGCCAAGTGAATTCTGCGTCTAACAAGGGACTTTTCTCTCCAGCAGTCTGATCCAACAGTTCATACACAAAGCTCCCTATGAGATTTTTGGTCCGCAGGGAATGAAAGATTGGATTTACAGTTTCAGCAATTTTTTTTCCAAATGAAATATGTTAGAAGCTAATAGGCCAGGGTTTCTTTCCAATATCAAGGAACTGCCTGCATTTAAGTTTAAGTGCAATAAAAATCAAAGTTCTAAGTGGCTAAATGATACACTTATCCTTTCAGTGGTTCTCTGCTTCTTGGGTAATTCATGACCAAACTCTTTCGTAAGGTTACTGTAGACTTGGCCACTGTTTGCAGAACATATTCCAAAACCCAGATTCCTGTAAAAATAAATACTTCATCTAAAAGGTGCAAAGAAAATATAGCTAGATAAAAACAAAAATTACCAGTAGTTTGTTTTCTTTGATAACACACAGTAGTTTGGTCCATTGCCCAAATCGTTTCTTTCTAAGGAGGAAGGCACAGATTTTGGCATCCTTCACCAGATCCATAGAGGCCTCCTCAGAAGGCCACTGATGTCTCATTTTCTTCCCCTTTCCATCCTCCTCCTCTTCATCGTAGGATTCGTAAGAGCTGCTCATAGCATCCGAGTCATAATCTTTAAGAAAAGCATAAAAGCGTCAAGTTAAAACACTTAGCAATGAAGTGTACGGAAATAACTGAAAATCTCAACAGGGTTCATTTTAAGCAAAGGTTTTGAAAGCCAGCCATGAACAGATTACTGTTTCAGTGCTCAGTAATATCACTACATTAAGTTAATAGAGTAAGAGATCCCGTTCCATTATGAAATTTTATAGACGACCCACACTGATACCTTGGGAATTTTAATTGAAAGAATGAGCTGGGAATAAATAGAATTTTAGGTAGGTTTTTTTTGATCTTCAAAATATTACTTAGCAGATACGTTCATGTTTTGTAATTCTTTTGCAGAGAAACATCTTCATCTTGCCCAACTGCGTAATGAAAAATGTAGGCACAGAAATGTCAGTATTAGTACAACATACTAAGAAACAAAAACTGAATATGACAAAGGCCACAAGAGTAAATTATGGGGCACTATCTACCTATCATAACATTGTATGTTATATCATAACAATTCTCAAATACAACATGTGCACTGATACAATTAACTTTGAATAGACAATGCTGTTCCTTGAACTATGGCTTTTGCTGGAGTTAAAGGCATTCTGCAAAAAATGTGTTGTTATGTTAGCCTTAACAGTTTAATCCTGCTCTAAGTTTGGTGGTTAATGGCAAGATTCCTTTTTAATTAAACAATCTTTGTTCAGGCCTGTCATTTACAACAATGCAATCAGATCTAGCAGTCCCCTAAAATACAAAACTAATTTGCCATTATCACAGAACCCTTTCTTCCACCATCCATGCTTATTTGTTTAGGTAGACATATAAATAAAGCTCCTCAGATAATAACACCTGAAGGCATGTTTGTTATCCACTGGCACACAGTCCCATGGAGGAGACTTGATTGGAATATTTTCAATAGATGAAATTTCATCCAAACATTTCAAGTAGACTTTGATACATTTTAGGCCAGGTGCAAGAAAAATCTCTCATTTGCTTTGGCTAGGTATTTGGGACACAGTTGGGATGTAGGAAGGAGATCTGGGACACTTGGGAAAAGGACAATAGAGTGGATTGCTGGAAAGCTCATTCTAAATCAGTTCCTCCCTACGTGCAAAGTCAGAATGGGATACACCCAGACCTCACATCTCTGAATCAAGACTAGATATTCTGATACTATTTGTGTTTTCACAGAAGTGTACAAAATAGCTTATCTTCATTCCAAAGTGAAATGAAAAGCTCTTAAAACTTTTTTAAAAATTTAATTTAATTGCCATTTTCTGGTCACTTCTGCTATGGAGCGTTTGGTTTGGGGCAGCTCCATACAGGCAAGTGGTAAAAGCCTCAGATGGTTAAATTAATTGAAGGAAGTGCTGATCGAGACTTCAAAGCAGAGATTGAAATTTTGCATGTGGCTCACAAGCAGTCCAAGTCCAGATTTCATGTTAGCAATAAGTTGTGTGATCAGCAGAGGGACTCTGCTGGCACAGTACATGCAGGTTCATCCAAATCTGTTTGCAGGAGGACGAAAGCCAACAGGAGCTTCTGAGGCTGACATTTCCGGACTCCCATCCTCACACAGTCTAATGGGAACTCTGGGGACCTCTTGCCATATCCTGTCCATTAACTACTCCCCATGTTTCTCTTCGCCTTGGGTTGTGGAACTCTTGGCCAGAGTTTGCTGTGTGACTCACACCAGGAAAGGTGACCACCCTGGAGGACCCATATCATCTGGGCTGAAACCTTTGCTGCTCTTTGCCACATCCCGCTTTTATTCTTTGTTTCTCCAAACTGCTGTATCAAGTCCAAACCGATGCTTTCAGGCTCTGGGCACAAACTAGCTTCTAATCACATTGTAAAGTAACTATTTAACATAAATATCATAGGCAGTCTACTACCCATACATAACAGCTTTAGCAGACATTCAGAAAGTTACGCAGAGAAATCCAGAGCATACATGTAATTTCAAAGGGTTTGGAAGCAGTATTACTTCCAACTAATATTCACTGTGAACTGAATTTGAGAAGCAGTAAACTTCCTATTAAAAAATGCTAAATTGAGGAAGCAAACTGTGTAAAGGTAAGTTGTGGAAAGGCTACTAGTGACTAAATCCTGTCATCTCTTACTGTCTCATCACAATGGGTAATGAAAGAGGCTTGACAATAAACTACAAGTAAGATCTGAAAACCTCTCGTGTACATGTTCAAGTCAACACACTCTTAACCATTTGAATGGTTAAGTACAATAAGAAATCAGTTTCATATTTTGTCTTTTTTTTTCCCCAGGCGGTCCTTTAGCAGTGCTATTAATATTTGTTCTATTAATATTTTTCTGCCTGAGCATGGCTCTTGTTTAATGACAAAACACAAATCAGCAGTTCACCGGATTACAGGGTGTAGGAGGACCACCCTGCAGCATTTCAAGGGAGGAAATGAAGAGAGGAGTGATTTTGCTGCTCTGCTAAGACTGTACATTCCTTCATTTGCTTTACAGTATATGAAACTCTTTCTTACCTTGAATTTTTGAGGTAAATTAAGATAACCTCAGTTTGTGCAGTGTACTTAACCATTCAAATCCATGAAAATATTTAGGATATCAGCCATACAAGTCCATTAATAATTCTGTAATTAAAGTATCTATATCCAGACATTTAAATATCTGTTACTGTAACTTATCATCTTACTTGCTGTGATTTTGCTATCTTTTCTCATGTCCTGAACTCCTTATCATCTCTTTTAATTTGTGTTAAAAGTATTCAGGTCTTCATCACTAATACAGTTGCTTTTAAATTCGACGTGCTATTAGTAATATATCTCCACTCAAGCAAAACTTCCACTAAATCCAGTGTGTGTAGTGTACAAGTATTCTAAGGTGACTATGATGTGTTTTACGAACAGAGATATCATTTAATTCATTTGTTCTGGTTCAAATAATACAACGGCTATAAAATCGGGGAAGATATGCCTTTAATCTTCGAGCCATAGAAAATAATAATTAGTGATAAATCAGTCACAAGTAATAAATTAACCCAGCCAATAAAGAAAGCAGCAAAAAGGAAAATCTTTGCAACTTTTTGGCACATGATGTCCTGTTGACTGACCCTGCGTAAATGCTCACAGCAGTCATTTCATTGGTTCACCAGTGTGCTCCCAGCGCAGTTCCACTGAAGTGCACCGGTCTTTGCATAAGTATTTGGATGTGTGAAAGAGCATTTGTGTGTCACAGAAGGACGTTCTGGTGGTCAGTTAGGAGGCAGCCCTCTGCCTTTTGCACTAAAGGAGTAGTCACAAAAACACTGTTATGTGTATCAAACACAGCTTGTGAGAGCCAATATGAGTGATTTATCCCTATCCACGTCTCATCAGAAATGCTGCAAATCACATCTTTTCAATAATTCCTTTTTTCTTTCTATTTGTCTACTTCAGCAAGCAATTCAGTGCAACAGAGGCATACCTGCAGATCTGCAGATCAGCACCAGTTTCTGAGACCTCTACATTTACAGTATCACCGGTTTAGAGGGGTTTACTCTGGATGATACTTAACTCTGGATTCCTGGTCCAATGCCCCCACCATGTTCGTGGTTAAAATCTGTCCAAAAGACCAGGGGCTGATTTGGACCCTCTGTTTCCAGTACCAGCTGAAACATGTTTATGTGCACCTAACTTGAGCTCCAGCTTTAGCTTCCTGCAAAACGAGCTTGGTTTGTGCACACCAAAACAGTTCTGCAAACCAAACCAATGCATGGCCAGTGAGGACAAGCAGAACTGTCCCCCAGTGATCAAAGCCACACTTACGACATGTCAACACAGCACTAATAAGAGATGTAGGTGCTGAATACTAAAAAAGCTGAAGGACACCGGAATTACTAGTTGCTCAGAAACTGGTCTGGATATATATTACTCACTGGAAGTGATGTACTCGGGAGCCTTTCCAGGACTAAGAGGCACTGCCTCTTCATAATAGCCTTCAGGAAGGGAAGATGTTGGTAATGGTGGAGGTCCATTATCTGGTGGCTAAAAAAAGGAAAAAAAGAAAAAGTGAACATCCATGACTCATGATAAGGCAGCAGAACCCTCTCGCATGTACTCCAACGGAGTCCTTTGGGGATATAAACACAGTATCATCCTGTTTGCCATTGTTAAGGATGGCAAAAGCAAGATAACTTCATTGAAAGAAGTCCTTTCTACAACAGCATGAAGTGGTAAAAATGTTGAAAAGATACAGTTCTCTATTTAAGAACTAGAAACTCAAAGGGTCTACATAGGAGAGAGATTTCTGTGCATAGACCGTTTTACAGTGTTAAGGCTTATCAATTAGTATTTTACATCTAAAATAATTTGTATTACAGCAGCGAACAACAGTTTGGTTGAACAGTTTAGAAAAGCTAAAAGCCTGGGGTGGCAGAGATAAAGGACAGATAATTTAGATCATATTTTCATGATGTATTTTGTTTTTCAATGGCAAGTTAATTCTTCACATAGACATTAATTTTTAAAATGCTCTTTCTACATAGTGAAAACTGAGCTACAACCAAGGAAAAGTTTGGAACATCGAGAAACTATTATATGATAAAATAAATATTTCAAATACCAGGTCAAATTCTAAAATGCCTCTTTTCTAAATATAAACCTGTTTTAAATTTAAAACTGACTGACTGCTGGTATGTTGATACAGTAACAAAGTAAATTTAGTACTCTATGACTTCTTCCATATGACTTTACTGTTCTATTTCCTTAACAAGTACCAAAACAACTGTATTTTATAGACCTCATTCATATTTGCCACAGGTTTTTAGTTCCGTATTTTCATATTAGAAAAAATACTGAAGTCTTTTTCCAACACCAGTGGTTTATTGTATGATTACAGAAATATAACTTGTAAGCAGAGTCTCATTTCTGCAGTAACATTTTTTCAGTACATCCTTCTCTTTTTTGGTGCAATGAAAGAGATGTAATGGTGTTTGTCTGCACTGGATTGATCCAGTCTAAACTCAGCTAATGAACAGAGATAATGAAGTAAGAAACTAGTCAGGGTGGGCTTTGCTCATGGCCAGACACAGACACATCTGGAGTGCAATTCAATGGGATGAGCAGTGTAGAAGAGGCATAGAGCCTTCTTCCATGTAATATAGATGAAGCCAGAATGACTACACTCCTCTTTTGCTATAGACCTAAAGTTACCCAGGAGGAAGCTGAGCTTTAAGAACACATGGCATTAGCTGTAATGAAATTACTTCTGTGGGCCCTTTCAGGGCTGGATTCAGCTATGCAGAGTTCATAACAAGACATCTCCAAATCTCACTACCCATTATACACCTATGCTAGACACCTAATTCTTAACAACATCACAAGACAAGTACCACCCTTAGCGTGCTCTGCAGTTAAATTCATATCGAGTAAGTTATTCCACCTTGCAGGTAAGTGCTTGTGTGTTCCCCATGTGCAGGAAGGCAAAGAGCTATCAAATAAACCTGCCCTTCAGCTCATCCAGCGCTGACTTCCCTTTGTCCTCTGAATAAAATCAGAAACTTCCCCATGAACAATGAACCGATTCGTGACTGAACACTGAAATTCTTGGTCAGATTGAGATTTACACTAATATTACTTCTATAACAAATGATACAGCCAACTTCATAGGTCAAACTCAATTACAGATAAAAGATGGCAATTACTGTTATCTACAATGTGAACCAAGTGAGTTTTCCTCACAGACCAGTTTTGCAAGAGAAATTATCTGTCAAAGAAGCAAAATAATGAAAAAACACGACTTTTAGCAGAATTTCCCTGTGATTCTGATGAAAAAAAAAACCCACCCAAATTGCAAATCTGCACATAATCACAAAATAAATGAGTCCTTCCAGGTTAGCTGCTGCTGTGCAACAGGCGTAAGGGACATGGAAAAAATATCACACATTCGTTAATATTGGAAAATTGAGAGCACATTATGAATTTTGCCCTACACACCTGCACACATCAGCTCTGTGTGGCCTGAACTGCTAGACACAATAGGGAGAGCTGCCTCCAAAGAGTCTGTATTTTCTCCCTTCACGCAGGAGGGCAGAGCCTTGCTCAAGTGAATCCGGGTCAAGGTTTGTTCCTGGGGCAGTGTAGATTCATACCACTCCTTTCACAAGACAGATATATTAATGTCTTGGTCTAGCCTTAAACTATTTTCCCCATCAGGTGTATGTACGATATATGAAATTCCTATCATTATTAAACCTAATTCACCCAGGAAATACCCATGCTGAGAGTCATTCCAATTTTGACTTGACACAGCACCAAAGTTTCAAAGCTATCTTTTATCCAGAAACAAATGAGGCTCCAATAAAGATCTAGGGGGGGACCGAGGAGAATCCTTTTTTTTAGACAAAATCTCATTCAGAAAGAAAGAAAAAAGGAAATGAAACACAAATGGTGCTTGTCTGAATTCGACCCTGCTGGAGCACCAGTTACTTCATACAGCTGGGGCGGGCTGGGCTGCGCAGCCAACGTCAACACAGATGGAATCCATTGCTGAATTAACCAGGCCCTCCTTTCTGAAATGCATTTTGCAGTGCTTGCCATCACATAATTGAAAACAATTATAAAAAAGATTTTTTTTTTTTTTTTCAAAAAAAAAATTATTAGGAGAAACAGAAACATCCAACACGAAATACTTTCTGATTAAAGCAAGGCTGCTTTAATATTGAAAGAAAATCAAACTGATTAAAAACAAAATAAAAATACATGACTCATATCTGCACCATAAACAGCTACATCTTTTGGGAGCTATGGAATACGTGAGCGAGCATCAAGAAATGTAAAAACTACACCTGAGCATTCTGGTATTACTTACTAATATTTACAGTGCTTTAATTGTTTTACTACTGCTAGCTGTATTGTTTAATTCTTTCAACTTGGCAATTCTTTAGTGGAAGAATTTTGATGAAGTTATGAATTATGAACTGAAATAATTCTTGATTCAATAACTTCTCATTAGTTTACCTGAAAAATAACAAGGCAATAACAAGGCCATAAAGCCCACAAAACTATTTACATATTCTATAGAAAGATTAAATCTCAAAAACCCTAGGACGTGTAGTTTGAGTGGTATCAGGAGGAAAGACCTGGCAACTTGCAAAGAAGGCATTAGCACAAATCTCTACACTTTTTTTCTTTTATGACAGGCCACAAGGAAGAAAACTAGAGAATGCTACCTTTGAAGAGAAATAACCTTGCTTAATCACGGGAATAGGAACTGAGTTAGAAAAAAAAAATTACCATTATTTTGATCTCACTGGAGGAAAAGGGACAAAGATGAGTAAGAGATTGTTACCCAGAATAATACCAATAATACTGAAATAATACTGATAAAGGCATTTGTCAGGTGCTAGGTCAAAGACCAAATGAGAGATGCTTTATTTGAAACCAAGAAGCAGATGGGGTGATGATCATAGAATGGTTTAGGTTGGAAGGGACCTTGAAGATCATCGAGTTCCAACCCCCCTGCCATGGGCAGGGACACGTCCCACTAGACCAGGTTGCCCAAGGCCGTAGTACAGACTTGAGATCTCTGAAGACATTAAAGACTGGATTGTTCAAGGAATGCCCAACTCCAGTTTGCAGAAGGGACTGTTGAGAAGAAGAAACGAGTATCTCCAAATAAGAAGCAATATTTAACGGGACAGTAAAACTCATGATTCTACTAGACACTATGAAACAGTCTTAGTGGAAATATTAATTTTATGGCATACGATGGTCTTCCCCTCCACCTGCTCCTCAGAGTTCCACAGACCACAAATGAACTCTTTCTTTCCTTAACCTAGGAGATAAAATACTTTATTTGCCCCCTTGTGTCTAAGGGTACCTACCAAGACAGGTAGGAACCTTTTTTCTTTTAGGGATAGTCTAGCTGATATCTGCTGATGATACGAAAGTATATAGTGTAGAAAGCAGCATGAAATAGAGAGGAAAATAAATGTCATCGTATAGGGACCTGAGGATATAAAATCACTCGACACCCCAATGAAGACTGACACTATGTAGGAAATAGAAAGAAACACCTCTCTTTATGCAATGATTTAGGATGTGGAGATTTCCAGTGGAAAGCAGTGACTTTACCAGAGGCAGAGACTGTCAGTACACCCATGCTGCAGGCAAAGGCTGCCAGCAATTCAAGGGCCATACTCGCACGTGTGTTATTAGATCAACCACCAATTCGGATCCAGCCGGACTGCGGAGCCAGCTGCTACGTAACCCTTCAACACTGAAAAGCAGCAACGTGAGACTGGAAAAGTGGTCACACACTAGTGATGCATAATAAAGCTATTCAGAAGCCAGCAGGCAAATGTGGGCTGTCAAGAAGAAACCTTGACACATGCACATGCCATTTGCTTTGGAGCAAGCTTAGACCCGACCTCTGCACAACTCTATGGCATCCTCAGCCTGGGAGAGGGAACACATTTATGATCCCTTTCCCCACACGTAAAAAAGTGCATATCCAGAAAGCAAAATAAATCAACAAACTGAATACCAATACAACTGGCAAAACTACTGACAGTACATTTCAAGCAGGCTTCTTCATACCACTGTAAAGGCTGGAAATTGGGCACCAGTACTTGCCACACTTGGTAAGAAAGCCTTTAGGTAAACTCAAAATCACGAAAGCACTGAAAAGAAATCAGCATTTACTGCCAGCTATTGAGGAACTAGGTGGACTCTGGATTTATTCAGGACAAAAGCGCTGACTATATGGGATCTTAAGACCATATGGAGCTGTGCAGGAGTGAAATCCTAGCCTGAGCGTAGACAAGCAGAAGCTGAGAAGAATTCTTCATTTGATCTCAGCTCCATATTCTAAGGTTATTAATTTCTCTGCTTGTCAGCTGGACCCTACAAAACTGGAGCCAAATAATGTGGAAGAAGTCTAACAACTTGTCTTCAGCTTCTGAGCTCACCTGACAAAAGACAGTAAACCAGCCAGCCAGCCACCAAACTCAGCTTTCTGGAACAGAGGAATCCTGACAGTCCCA